ATCGGGTTCAAGTCCGGGCTCTGGCTGGGCCACTCAAGGACATTCAGAGACTTGTCCCGAAGCCACTCCTGCGTTGTCTTGGCTGTGTGCTTAGGGTCGTTGTCCTGTTGGAAGGTGAACCCCAGTCTGAGGTCCTGAGCGCTCTGGAGCAGGTTTTCCATCAAGGAGCTCTCTGTACTTTGCTCCGTTCAACTTTGACTCGATCCTGGCTAGTCTCCCAGTCCCTGCCACTGAAAAACATCCCCACAGCATGATGCTGCCACCACCATGCTTCACCGTAGGGATGGTGCCAGGTTTCCTCCATACGTGATGCTTGACATTCAGGCCAAAGAGTTCAATCTTGGTTTCATCAGACCAGAGAATCTTGTTTCTCATTGTCTGAGAGTCTTTAGGTGCCTTTTGGCAAACAAAGCGGGCTGTCATGTGCCTTTTACTGAGGAGTGGCTTCCATCTGGCCACGCTACCATAAAGACCTGATTGGTGAAGTTTCTCCCATCTCCACAGAGGAACTCAACAGCTCTTTCAGAGTGACCATCGGGTTCTTGGTGACCTCCCTGATGAAGGATCTTCTCCCCCGATTGCTCAGTTTGGCCGGGCGGCCAGCTCTAGGAAGAGTCCTAACTTCTTTCATTTAAGAATGATGGAGGCCACTGTGTTCTTGGGGACCTTCAATGCTGCAGACATTTTTTGGTACCCTTCCCCAAATCTGTGCCTCGACACAATCCTGTCTCGGAGCTCTACGGACAATTGCTTCGAACTCATGGCTTGGCTTTTGCTCTGAAATGCACTGTCAACTGTGGGACCTTATATAGACAGCTGTGTGTCTTTCCAAATCATGTCCAATCAATTGAATTTACCACAGGTGGACTCCAAGGTGTAGAAACATCTCAAGGATGATCAATGGAAACAGGATGCACCTGAGCTCAATTTAGAGTCTCATAGCAAAGATTCGGAATACTTATGTAAATAAGGTATTTCTGTTTTGTAAATTGTAATATATTTGCTAAAATTTCTAAAAAACTGTTTTCGCTTTGTCATTATGGGGTATTGTGTATAGATTGCTGAGGATGTAAAAATAAAAAAAATCAATTTTAGAATAAGGCTGTAACGTAAGAAAATTTGGAAAAAGTCAAGGGGTCTGAATACTTTCCAAAGGCCTATATATAATTTCACAAGCTCTGAATTCATTAGATCATTGCTGACTGTTTTAAATGCAGTGTATTTGACTTTTAATTGTACAACAAAGATTATTTAGAGAAAACATTTTCAAAATCTAGATATACAGTACCAGTCAAAGGTTTGGACACACATAAGTCATTCCAGGGTTTTTCTTTATTTTTACTATTTTCTACATTGTAGAATAATAGTGAAGACATCAAAACTATGAAATAACACATATGGAATCATGTAGTAACCAAAAAAGTGTTAAACAAATCAAAATATATTTGAGATTCTTCAAAGTAGCCACCCTTTGCCTTGATGACAGCTTTGCACACGCTTGGCATTCTCTCAACCAGCTTCATGAGGTAGTCACCTGGAATGCATTTCAATTAACAGGTGTGCCTCGTTAAAAGTGAATATGTGGAATTTCTTTCCTTAATGCATTTGAGCCAATCAGTTGTGTTATGACAAGGTAGGGGTGGTATACAGAAGATAGCCCATATTATGGCAAGAACAACTCAAATAGGCAAAGAGAAATGACAGTCCATCATTTCTTTAAGACATGAAGGTCAGTCAATCCGGAAAATGTCAAGAACTTTGAAAGTTTCTTCAAGTGCAGTCGCAAAAACCATCAAGCGCTATGATGAAACTGGCTCTCATGAGGACCACCACAGGAAAGGAAGACCCAGAGTTACCTCTGCTGCAGAGGATAAGTTCATTAGAGTTACCTGCCTCAGAAACGCAGAATAGGTGAAAGGATGATCTCCACATGTGTGGTTCCCACCGTGAAGCATGGTGGAGGGTGTGATGGTGTGGGGGTGCTTTGCTGGTGACACTGTCGGTAATTTATTTAGAATTCAATGCACACTTAACCAGCATGGCTACCACAGCATTCTGCAGCGATACGCCATCCCATCTGGTTTGCGCTTAGTGGGACTATCATTCGTTTTTCAACAGGACAATGACCCAACACACCTCCAGGCTGTGTAAGGGCTATTTGACCAAGAAGGAGAGTGATGGAGTGCTGCATCAGATGACCTGGCCTCCACAATCACCCAACCTCAACCCAATTGAGGTGGTTTGGGATGAGTCGGACCGCAGAGTGAAGGAAAAGAAGCCAACAAATACTCAGCATATGTGGGAACTCCTTCAAGACTGTTGGAAAAGCATTCCAGATGAAGCTGGTTGAGAAAATGCCAAGAGTGTGCAAAGCTGTCATCAAGGCAAAGGGTGGCTACTTTGAAGAATCTAAAATATATTTTGAATTGTTTAACACCTTTTTTTGGTTACTACATGATTCCATATGTGTTATTTCATAGTTTAGATGTCTTCACTATTCTACAATAATAAAAATAAAGAAAAACCCTTGAATGAGTAGGTGTGTCCAAACTTTTGACTGGTACTGTATATCGTGAATCGGCCATAAGTTTGAAAAGATTGAGATATGAGTTTTAGCTCATATCGCCCAGGCCTAACGGGAGTCGTCTTACGTTTGGGAACATTACAGTCCTATTGATCAAACAGCCATGAAAAGGTAGGCTCTCTCTCCCTCATTTATGACCATCAACAACAAGATCAACAACTAATGCTAACCAGAGCAATATTAGCTCAAATCTAACGAAGAAACATTAGATAAACCCTCTAAAGCTTTTTCAGCTAGTTGGCCGTCAAATTGCACTGATAAACAATGGGGAATTATAGCCTCCTTGTCCTTCTGCAGCTTGCATGCCAATGAATGCTTGTCCCAACCAAGCACCCAAGCTAACTGGCTAAAGTTGGGCTACTTCCAGACACAAATGAGAGAACACCTCACTCTGACCATTTTACTCACATTAGCAGAGCTGGTTAGGCTGTTTACATGTTACCTAGAGCGTTCTTGACTAACTATTACTTTTTTTTGCCTACGTTTACTGACACCGTTCATATTCAGCAGGTGTTGCGCGTTCATAAATTAATCAGTTGTTCTGCGCTCTGAGTTTATGGACTGCTTATCCTTTAACATCATGGTGTGTGGCTGCTGTCTTTCCATCGGCCCTATGCAGTGGTGTAGTGTTACCTGGTGAAGTGGGTGTACTCAAATTTAGCCCAAAAGTTCCCAAACGGCCTGCCCAGTGAAGGAAAGGCACCCTGTGTGAAACATCCTATGTTTTCCTATGGTTGTTTATGAGTTTTCCTATAGATTTTTCAGATTGTCACTCTTAAAATCACTTATTTATTTATTTTACAAAAACATGACTGTCTAAGTCCACAACAATGCTTAAACCACATCAATCTAATTGGGTGGGCCTGTCAGGGCCTGGCTCCCCAGTGGGTGGGCCTGTGTCCACTCAGGCCCATCCATTTCTACGCCCCTGATGCAAACAGCACATGATGACAATTGTGCATCACAAATAGCCTACTAACCAACACTTCGGACTAAACTTTTTCAATACCTGGTTTGCATACCCATTGTTGCCTTAGTTAGCATTTACTGGTAGATATCATAAGTTGAAATGTCTTTCCTACCCTACTGGCTACCAATGTCAGTCTTCTGTGAGCTGCTCCATGCCAAAACCAGTTGAGAGCTGCACACTCTTGCTGCATGCAGATGCTATTCCGCTGAAACTAGGTTATGTATGCGGCGAGCATGTGAATATATTTCACATGCATTGCGATTGTGTAGGGCTACTTTGTGCGTTATTTCTCTATTGTACTACAAGTCTTATACCTCCACTACACCACTTTGATACGCATCAGTAGGGATTAAGTGAGTATACGCAATGCCCACTGTTAAAAAAGAGGGTATACGGCTTATACCTGCGTATACCCTCCACTACACCGCTGGCCCTTTGTGTTTTACAAAAAGTGCACTCTCCTACATGAGCGCGCTGGTATTACGGTTGCTGTCCTTTCAGAATCACGAACATGTCACACACTGAAGGCCTATAGGTTCGCCACTGCGCAAACATGTCTATAATAGCTATAAAGGCTGTAAAGATATTAATGTTTCAATAAAGAAGTGTATATATTTGGCCTGGTGTAGCGGTTTTATGCGCTGACTGAATGGAAGCTCATAATTATGAGTTCTTTACTCCGCTGGTCTCGGGAAGAAATTACAAGTCCTCACTGTCCGAGACCGAGTCAAGACCGAGTACAAATGTATCCGACACCGAGACAAGACCGGATCCTCAATACTCAACACTGGTTGAGCCCGGTAGACTAGCTCAGCAATCTTATCGTGGGCGAGGGGTTGCACTGCAGTGAGTTTAAGTTTGAGAGCAGTGAATGTCAGCTTTTGAGATATTTTAGCTAGTGTTTTAGCAAGTCTTATCTAGGCTACGTTACTCATTGAGCCATGACTATTATAAAATTTATGTTATTACTTAGGTAACGACACAACCTGTTTTGCAACGCTAGCAAGCGAACTCTTGCAAGGATATTAACTGCACCAATTGCTATCTAGCTAGTTCAGAAATGTTAACAGTAGCACTGTACTCAGGGACTCATCTCAAGTACTACAACACTGACGTTAGCGGTTAGCTAGCTAGCAAGTTTTTCGTGCTCCCTCCAGTTGTAATATTATTTTTTTTTGTATTATTTATTTTTTTGTCATTTAGCAGACGCTCTTATCCAGAGCGACTTAGTTAGTGAGTGCATACATTTTTATTTTTTCATACTGGTCCCCCGTGGGAAACGAACCCACAACCCTGGCGTTGCAAACGCCATGCTCTACCAACTGAGCTACACGGGACTAATCTACCCATTGCTGCTTCTTGCACTGATTATTTTCATAACATCTCTGGAAAGGGTCAGCTTGCCCTCCTCCAGGACTTCAGTCTGCTGGACAGTGTGTGAACAAAATGGGTACAGACCAGTGGTCCCTAAAGCATTTCTTTGTTATGAAATAAGCATGCCAAATAGATTTATGGCATATTGATCCATGCAGGTGTGCAGGCCGGCATTCTTAAAAATGTATGAAATATGGTGTAGTTATGTGTCCACCACACCCAGCACCCCTTTCCTTCTCCCTCAGAAAATAGCACTCCCTCCATCTGCAGTACATATAATTTAATCATTTAACATCAGTGCTGCTGAGGTTTCTTAGCCTACCGGTTAGAGATGGACAGGGCTGGAACAGACACTGAATGATGCTCTGTGGCTCTTGCAGGGATCAGTTCTTTACACAATGATGACACAATTTGTCTTTCCAGACTCCCGGCTGTTGTCTGGAATTGCACAACACATAGGGACGAATTATCACTTGTGTAGTGGTTTTCAGAAGTGTAGTCTATTCATGTAGTGGTTTTCAAAATATTTGTGAGAATCTGCTTATGCCTATTTATGAGAACCTGTTTGTTAGATTCTGCCTTGCTGTGTGTGTGTTTGTTTGTTTGTTTGTTTGAGTGTGCGCGCACACACATGTATGCATGTGTGTGAGTGCATGCATGTGCCGCTCTGAGAATATATCTTAATTCCTCGTAAAGGTGTTGTATTTGTTGACTGATCTCTCTCTCTCTCTCTCTCTCTCTCTCTCTCTCTCTCTCTCTCTATCTCTCTCTCCCTCTCTCTCTCCTTCTCTCTCTTCTCTGGTTGACTGATCCTCTTCTTCTCTATCTTCCTCCGCTCTGTATCTCACTCTCTCTCTCTATCTTCTCCAGGTCTCTTTTCTCCGCTCTTCCTCTCTCGTCTCTCTCTGCTACTCTCTCTATGAGCAGAACTGCCTCTGAATTAGATTCAGAAGGGAAACAGGCTGAGGCTTAAAGCCAATTTATGCTTGATTCGAAAATGTGGTCGGAGGCTCCGTATAGAGGGTGTGACGCAATTACGGAGCGTCCGGTGACATGCAGAGGCCAAATTGAGGTCCATACTGCATCGTGGTGCGCCTCCCAAATTTTGTAACAATGCGGAGGGCTTCATATAGCTCTGTATAGCTCCGCGTTGACATGATTGGTTGACGGTAGGTGGGGGCGGGAGATCCTGTATAAACACAAACTCACTTCCTTGACAAGAGCTCTGCGCTGCTCCGCGAAGCGCAAGAAGTATGAATGCTGAGGCCGTATCACCGTAAATGCTGCATGGCCAATGCAGACGTCAGATTGACCCTGCAGCACCTTTAGTTTTATTTATTTACAGGCAGCAGACATTTTATGTCTGTCATTGTACTGTTTATTTTTGTCGTTGGAATTCATCTGCGTACGTGTGTGTGACTGTGTGCGCATTCATGTGTTTGCGTGCCATATTCATGTCTGTTTGTATTCATGTGTGTGTGACTGTGGTTACGGTTGTCATTAGTGTGTCTTAGTGCTGTCTGTGTGACATCTGTTGTTGTCTACACTGCTGTATCTTTGGGAGTTGCACCAATCCATTAAAGTCACAGTTTATGATTATTGCTGTTGTCATTGCAGAAAGGGTGGGTCGTATTCATTAGGGCAAAATGGTTTGCAAAGGAAAACAACGTTTCTTATTGGACATGTTCAGGTAGTCCCTTCCGTTTTCAGTCAGTTTTTTTCTGTTCGATGAATATGATTATGGTTTACTGAGCTCACATTGGAGATGTGCAGTGGCTAACTCACCAGTAGTTAATAGTTTATAGCCCACCTACTCCTTCATCTTGGCTTGTGCGTCATAGAGTAGATATAATCCTATTATAAGCATGACATGACACCCAAATCTATATATATATATATATATCTCAGTTTCCTTTTAGCATATTAGCCTATTCGGCCAACGAATGCAGTGAGATTGGAGACGGAGTGAGCTGTCAGTTGTAGTCAGAAGTCACTCAACTTGACTCTATGTTCATTCTAACCAGGCTCTGTCTCCTAGACTCCTCCTAGTGTAGCCTAATATACACACACACACACACACACACACACACACACACACACACCATATCTCCACAGTCCACACTGCTTTGATTTTGGCTGGCCTTGTGTTGTTGTTTGGCCTGTATTACGGTCCACGCTGTGTGAGTAAAGCCATTTGCAAAGATACCACAGACCTGTGAAAGGCCAACAGGAGGACAGCGGTAGAGAAGAGGGAAGAGGAGGGAGGATGAAGGGACGATGGAGGGAGGTTGGGCTAAAGGGATAATCGCCTGCCTGTAGTGGTCTGCTTTCTTTAGGAAACTTACGCTTTAGCACCCGCTGATACACACACAGGCTCAAGCACGGGCAGTTGCCCTCTCTGTCACGTACACACCCGTACACCGTGGGTAGTGTGGGAAAGCGAGGGCTTTCGCTACACTAGTAGCACCGCGCTCTGCCGTGTAGGCTATATGCTGAACATTGCATGACAGTTGGTGAGCTTTGTAAGCAGACCATGTCATGTCATGCCATCCCTGCCGCTGCCGCTGTTATCATCCCTACCATCTGTGCCACAAACCGTTTGCTGCTCAGTCAAAACACATTCACCATTTAAAAACAGAACAAGCCTAGGGAAACACTGGACTGCTAGTTCGAAAGTAGTGCAAAAAAGGGTACAAAACGTCATGTGAAAAAGAGGAAGACACTTTCTCACGGTTTAAGCCTAGGGGCTAAATGTTCCCGTGGTTTTACATACTAGCAAAGATTTTACCACAAAAGGGTCTTCGTCAGGCCTTCCACTCTGTGGTCAAAAATGAATGCTTCTAATAAAACTACTGGATCATTTAACAGTGGACTGTTCCATTATATAGTGGTCCTCTGTAGCTCAGCTGGTAGAGCACGGCGCTTGTAACGCCAAGGTAGTGGGTTCTATCCCCGGGACCACCCAAACACAAAAATGTATGCACGCATGACTGTAAGTCGCTTTGGATAAAAGCGTCTGCTAAATGGCATATTATTATTATTATTATTATTATTATTATTATTATTATATTAGCCCTCTTTCTCACAGGGACAGTCCCGTGACTGTCTTTGTGGGGTACAGTGCAGAGCAGGGTCAGGCAGGAACCAGGTTCACGGCAGGGTCGTATCAGTGTCATTGACTAGCTCAGCTCCAGGGCAGATTAAGAAAGACACTGGTCGCGTTCCAGCCCGTCGCACTGTGCAAATGATCAGATCTCACAATGCCTGGAGAAGTGTTTTACATCTTAGGAACCACATGAATATGATATACATAGTCCGACTGTGTGGAGATGGGCTGGAACACAACCAACCCCTCACAGAAGACCATAGCTAAGAAAGAGGACTACACAGACGGGCCCCTAGTCTGTTGGTTCTCACGCTCTCGCTATTTACTATTTATGAGATTCTATCAGATCTAGCCAAGTTCTAAGAGAATAGGCATAAACTAGTGTAAGTCATTTTTTCCCCCATCTAGGTAGGGTAGACTTTCCCCCGAATCTCTTGTCGAGACTCTAAGAACAGCATTTCTAATAGTGTAGGCTTGGATTAAGGCAGCGAAAGCTGACCCCAGGCCATTGCCTAGGAGTAACATTTATCTGGACTCTTTAGGGGCATCTCTTGGACTGAGGAACTGAGGGTGCTTGTTATTGTAGCCTGATGTTGAAACTGTTGTTCCAAGGAGTCACATGATGAGAAAAAAACAAGCATGTGAGAATGGATCTGCCTACATCATTGTTGTTGGGAACAGTGGGGGGTTGGCGGTGTTGGAAACACACACACACACACACACACACACACACACACACGTTGGATAAGGTGACAGTATGGAACCCTGATAAAGAACCAGCAAACACTGAATGATTGGGAATGATTGATTTGGGATTCCCACTGTAAGATAGTACACACACGCACACACACAGGCGCGCACACACTCACTCACTCACACAAACGCCAAACACTCCCACACAACACAAGTATGCCAACGAACCCAAAGCAAAATGACTGATCCCAGGTCATGCACAGACTGCAACGAAATAAAACAGGCAAGACTTTGAAACTCCTGTTTGCACTTGTCCACATCAGTACAACATAACCAATATGTTATCTTCCAGTGAACTAGACTTCTTTCCCAATCATTTGTTCATTTGTTCTCTTCATTCGTAGCTCTTGTTTGTTTGTAAATCTACTGAATCCACTCATTCAGCAAAGCATGAGTGACCTTGACCATGCGGCTCTATTGGCACAGAGGACTTTTATTGTCTTCTGTCTCGCTGGCTTCTCCACAATAATGAGTGGCTTCTTGTTCTCTGCACTCCGCGACACACACCGAGAGACTGTAGAAAGACTGCAGTAGCTATCTGCTGCTGACTCTGTCTATTCTGTACCCATTGTCTGGACTCTCCGACTAGGGGGCTAGAGCTTCGAAAAGCGCCTTCTGTTCTATGTGATTGGCTCCCTGATGCACCAGAATATCCTTGACTGTTTCCTTTGTCACGCTGATGCCAAGGACAGCTAGGACAGAACGCTTCCCCTTTTTCGCCTTCCTTTTCTATTGGTAGATTTGCAGCCCTGAAAATCATGACCTGTTTTATCACGCAACTCTGCTGCTTCAGTAGATTTCCCCTGGCTGGCTGGCTGGCTGGCTGGCTGGCTGGCTGGCTGGCTGGCTGGCTGGCTGGCTGGCTGGCTGGCTGGCTGGCTGGCTGGCTGGCTGGCTGGCTGGCTGGTTGGTTGTACTGTCTCTGGTCTCTCTCTCTCTGGTCGCTGTCTGTCTACCTCTGTGCCTGCCTGCCTGCTTACTTGCTCCTGGGCAGAAATTTGCCGTCTGTTTTAGCTAGTCAGCGGTGGAATAATCTGGTTGCCCATGTTAAGTAGTGGAAGCGTCATGAGTCATACACTACAGTACATCACAGGGCTCTACGCTGACCTTTTTTACAAGGATCATGTGTGCGCCTAAGTAAAACAATGTAGGTGCACACAAAGGCATTTAGGAGCACAATGAAAAATATGAGGTAATAAAGCTAGAATCCTTCATTTTTCTAGGCACACTGGTGCTCCTAAATAAAAATTCTGGGTCGCACAGCAAAATATTTAAGCGCATATGCGAGTAAATTGGGTGAACTGTGGAGCCCTGCATCATGTGCTGCAATACCACATTGTGCTGTCGGCTTACATCTGTGTACATAAAGTGCATTATTTAAAGAGTTTAAAGGTCGAAACATAAGTAATGTCGCCTCAAATAAAACGTCTGCAGTGCATTATGCCTTTTATATGTGTCATCCGAATAGTTAGGTTAGTGATTATTATGATTTTTATTTACCCCTTTCTTGTTTTTCTATTTCTGATCTGTAGGCGTTCAAGGATATGCTGTATTCTGCCCAGGACCAGGCCCCCTCTATCGAAGGTAAGGTATGTGTGTGTGCGCGTGTGTGCGTGCACATGCAGTGTACGTGCATATTGCACACTATTAGGGCACAACCCTGACCCACACGTCCCCCCCAACACACCACTATTAGGTAACCCTTGGCCTTTCAGTATCAAACTGCTGCAGATAGCAATGCAATAACGAAGTCAATCATCTGCATTAGATAGACTAGGAGAGAAAAGAGAGTGGAGGAAAAGATTGTCGAGCCAGGGAGAGGAAGAAAAGTGCACAATAATCAAATTTCATCCCTCAAATACCCCTCTCTCTTTAAATGAAGCTTCTGTCCATCAGTCTTTGGTCTAACATGGAGAAGAATGACAGAATGCTTTGCTCAGGCCTTTTTCTACTGTCGCTGGCGTCGTCATAGCTGTTTTCAGTTTATTGGACGGCTAATCCAATTCTACAGCGTGATTCTCAGTGAAACGCGTCATGTTCCTTTGTTAAGAGTTCCCTGTGATGTCTGCGTGGCATTGTGGGCTTGAAGACTTAATCCAGCTTGTTACGTTTGACCAGGCCACAGAGGCTACTCTGTTCCACTCGCCTGTCAACACCTTTGTAAGAGCCTGAAGTCGGTAACACAGTCAAAGCTGGACGGAACTGCAGTACACATGTAGGTGTAGGATTGTATAGTGTAGCTGATTAGGGTGGAAAGAGTTGGCATCTATCAACCTTGAGATGTGCCTGAAGTTAGACGTAGGCGTTAGGCTAGTGAAAGCTTGAGGGGACCCGAGAAAACATGTAGGTGGGGGATTGTACACTGGAGCTTCTCTCAAAGGATAGAAAGGGTTTACTATCAAACGTGTGCATATCTGTGTGTCAGACCTGGGTTCAAATACTTCAGCCACCTACCTCGCAATCCAGGCAGGGGCAAGCAAATGCTCAAAGTATTTGAAAGGTTTCAGATTGTATTTGAACTTCGGTGTGGTGTGGTGTGGTGTGTGTGTGTATAGGCCTATAGTGCCTTCGGAAAGTATTCAACCCCCTTGTTTTTTTTTCTTATTTTGTTGTGTTACAAAGTGGGATGAAAATTGATTTGTCATTTTTTTTTGTCAATGATCTACACAAAATACTCTGTCAAAGTGGGGGGGGGGGGATGTAACTCCCTTTGTTCGCGATATCTACTAAGCTAACATGTGTTTTAAGATGGTCATACCAAGGATCATTTAGCTATTTGAGTTTGAATTTTAGGACCTATATATATATATAATATATAATATATTATATTTTTTTATATTGTGACGAGGTGTGAATGAAGGGTCAGGCGCAGGAGGTTAAAACACCAAAGTCCAGAGTTATTCCGTTTACATAAATCAAACGAACCAGCGTGAAAATGAAACTATAACAAGGGAAAGTATTCCACCTGGCCAATACAAATGGAAGAGTAGCTCAACAAGCTACTCGCTCTCACAATAAACAATCACTCACAAAAACAAGGGAAACAGGAGGGAACAAAACATATCAACTAGGAATGAGCACAGTTCTCATTGAACAAGACAAGACATGACAATTGTCATCGATGTACAATGATCGGCAGTACAATAGAAACGAGAACGAGAACACTGAGGACTTCTTGAATCGAATATTTGAAAATGGTGGAAAATAGTATTGGGAAGCTAAACAATGAAAATTGCGCTCTCACCAGACCAGTAACGCATTGAAACCATCATGAATGGCAAAAGACAGTCATTAAAGAAATCCTGATACTTGTTTTGATTGAAATGACCATATGTAGGAAAACCTAAAGCAAACTTCTATGCCACTATGCAAACCAAACGGTTGTACATTTAAGGCACCGACAATGGGTAGCCTCTCCACGCTGCCTGAAGACTGTGCCGTCATAGAGTAAATGTTCGTTGAACATACTAACTGTCGGTGTTTAGGGAACATCTACCAGACGAGTGTAACACTCCGTCGATTGGGCTCTTACGCATGTTGCTCAACCCGTGGGCAAGATCAAGATGGTGACATTAAACTGCCGACACGGGGGACTTAACTGTCGAGTAGTGGAACAAAGTAACTAAAGTTGCTGAACATCTACCGCCGACGTGGCTGAACATCTTACATGTGAGAGTGACACTCCTGTCTGAAGCAGTAACATGTCATATGGTCAGATGAAACCAAAATATAACTTTTTGGTAAAAACTCAACTCGTCGTGTTTGGAGGACAAAGAATGCTGAGTTGCATCCAAAGACACCATACCTACTCTGAAGCATGGGGGTGGAAACATCAGGCTTTGGGGCTGTTTTTTCTGCAAAGGGACCAGGACGACTGATCCGTGTAAAGGAAAGATGAATGGGGGCCATGTATCGTGAGATTTTGAGTGAAAACCTCCTTCCATCACAAGGGGCATTGAAGATGAAACGTGGGGCTGGGGGTCTTTCAGCATGACAATGATCGCCAAACACACCCGCCCGGGCACCGAAGGAGTGGCTTCGTAAGAAGCATTTCAAGTCCTGGAGTGGGCCTAGCCAGTCTCCAGATCTCAACCCCATAGAAAATCTTTGGAGGGAGTTGAAAGTCTGTGTTGCCCAGCGACAGCCCCAAAACATCACTGCTCTAGAGGAGATCTGCATGGGGGAATGGGCCAAAATACCAGCAACAGTGTGTGAACACCTTGTGAAGACTTACAGAAAACGTTTGACCTGTGTCATTGCCAACAAAGGGTATATAACAAAGTATTGAGAAACTTTTGTTATTGACCAAATACTTATTTTCCACCATCATTTGCAAATAAATTCATTAAAAATCCTACAATGTGATTTTCTGGATTTTTTTTTCTCATTTTGTCTGTCATAGTTGACGTGTACCTATGATGAAAATTACAGGCCTCTCTCATCTTTTTAAGTGGGAGAACTTGCACAATTGGTGGCTGACTAAATACTTTTTTTCCCCACTGTGTGTGTGTATATATATATATATATATATATATATATATATATATATATATATATATATATATATATATATATATATATATATATATATATATATATATAATTTTTTTTTTTTTTTTTTTTTTTTTTATATATATATTGTGACGAGGTGTGAATGAAGGAGTCAGGCGCAGGAGGTAAAACACCAAAGTCCAGAGTTTATTCCGTTTACATAAATCAAACGACCCAGCGTGAAAATGAAACTATAACAAGGGAAAGTATTCCACCTTGGCCAATACAAATGGAAGAGTAGCTAAACCGAGCTACTCGCTCTCACAATAAACAATCACTCACAAAGACAAGGGGAACAGAGGGAACATACACATACTAATTAGGGGAATGAGCACCAGGTGTGTGTGATTGACAAGACAAGACATGACAAATGGAGTGATGAGAATGGGATCGGCAGTAGCTAGTAAGCCGGTGACGACGAACACCGAAACCTGCCCGAACAAGGAGGGGAGGCAGCCTCGGCGGAAGTCGTGACATATATTGAATTTGGCCTTTACTGCTATAGCCATAGAAACGCATTGAATAACACATTCATAAATGGCAAAAGACAGTCAAAAAAGAAATCCTAAGGAATAAGGTTTTGATGTGTCTGTCCTATATCTAGGAAATATAAGCAAACTTTGGTGATGGCACTTTTACACCCTATTCACGTTGTGACATTTTTAAGGCCCGGCACTGGGTTAGCTTCCGACGACTCCCCTGAAGCCTTTGGCGCGTCAATAGAAGCTAATGTTCGTGACATACTATACCTGTCGAGTTGGTGACTCTTACCTGTCGATGTTTGTGAACCTCTTACCTGTCGATGTGGTGAACATCTTACCTGTCGATGTTGGTGACATCTTCATGTCGCGTTGGGTGACCTCTTACCTTCTGTGTTGGTGAACTCTTACCTGTCGATGTTGGGGAACATCTTACCTGGCCGATGTTGGTGAACATCTTACCTGTCGATGTTGGTGAACATCTTACCTGTCGATGTTGGTGAACATCTTACCTGTCGATGTTGGTGAACATCTTACCTGTCGATGTTGTGAACATCTTACCTGTCGATGTTGGTGAACATCTTACCTGTCGATGTTGGTGAACATCTTACCTGTCGATGTTGGTGAACATCTTACCTGTCGATGTTGGTGAACATCTTACCTGTCGATGTTGGTGACATCTTACCTGTCGATGTTGGTGACTTATTGTTTATAGCTCAAACGGTTCAGTCTGGACAGTCGGTTTTGTGAGAAGACATCTTCGAAATTAGGACGTGGTCGTCAATGTTCAGATGACTGCCGTAAAGCTTGTGAATGTCGTAGAGCAAAACAAACAACACTGTGAGTGTCTCCTCTTTCACATGCCCCATGTTATGGAATAGGCGCAAGCTTTATATCGGCAGAAAGTGGGGATTGAGCTGTAGCCACTGAAAGAACTAAGTCTCAAGCATAAACACACGGGGAGCTATTCAATATTCAAAGTGACGTCACGTCAAATGGGTTTTAATGGGTAAGTCTCTTAAGAGCTTTGCACACCAGGATTGTACAATATTTGCCCGTTATTATTTTTAAAACTCTTAAAACTCTGTCAAATTGGTTGTTGATCATTGCTAGACAGCCATTTTCAAGTCTTGCCATAGATTTTCAAGCAGATTTAAAGCAAAACTGTAACTAGGCCACTCAGGAACATTCAATGTTGTCTTGGTAAGCCACTCCAGTGTATATTTGGCCTTGTGTTTAGGTTATTGTCCTGCTGTCTCCCAGTGTCTGTTGGAAAGCCGACTGAATCAGGTTGTCCTCTAGGATTGGCTCTATTCGGTTTCTTTTTATCCTGAAAAACTCCCCAGTCCTTATCGATGACAAGCATACCTATAACATGATGCAGCCACCACTATGCTTGAAAATATGTAGTAGTACTCAGTGATGTGTTGTGTTGGATTTGCCCTAAACATAATGCTTTGTATTCAGGACAAAAAGTTAGTTTTTTTTGCTGAAGTTTTACTTTAGTACCTTATTGCAATCATGATGCATGTTACAATCTATCTGAAATATTAAAGCTGATCTACCCCCTAAAAAAAAAAAAAAAAAAGAAACACGAATCATGTTTTGGAATATTTTAGGTTAGTACTGTCATTTTAGGTTAGTATTGTGGAGTAACTACAATATTGTTGATCCATCCTCAGTTTTCTCCTATCACAGCCTTTAAACTCTGTAACTATGAGAAATGTATGCACTCACTAGCTGTAAGTCGCTCTGGATAAGAGCGTCTGCTAAATGACTAAAATGTAAATGTAACTGTTTTAAAATCACCATTGACCTCATGGTGAAATCCCTAAGCGGTTTCCTTCCTCTCCAGCAACTGAGTTAGGAAGGACGGCTGTATCTTTGTAGTAACTCCAAAGCGTAATTAATAACATCACCATGCTCAAACGTATGTATATTCAGTGTCTGCTTTTGAAAAATGTTACCCATCTACCATTGGGTGCCCTTCTTTGCAAAGAATTGGAAAACCTCCTTGGTCTTTGTGGTGAGATATGTATTTGAAATGCACTACTCGACTGAGGGACCTTACAGGTAATTGTATGTGTGGGGTCTAGAGATGGGGTAGTCATTAAATAAAATCATGTTAACCACTAATATTGCACACAGTCCACAGTCCATGCAACCTATTAAGTGACTTGTTAAGCACATTTTTACTCCTGAACTTATTTAGGCTTGCCATAACAAAGGGGTTGAATACTTATTGACTCAAGACATTTCAGATTTACATTTTTGATTAATTTATAAACATTTCTAAAAACATAATTCCACTTTTTGACATTATAGGGTATTGTGTAGATCAGTGACACAAAATCTCAATTCAGGCTGTAACACAACAAAATGTGGGGAAAGTCAAGGGGGTTGAATACTTTCTGAAGACACTGTATATCCCTGTGTTTCTTCGGCGCGAAAACAAACACAGATTCCTGTGTTCATCTGAGGTCATAGTTCAACCATCACTGCCACTGATAGGATTGGAGCGAGCCTATCTCTGGGTCTGTAGGTGCTGTTGCTATGGCTGGACAGTGGACACATGGCCTGGAGTGTTGCCCGGGTTGAAACTCAACTCACCAGTGCATCAGCAAAAAATCATTGGGACACTGTTATGCTCCCAGTGTGTTTACTGTAATAACAAAATAGTAACCAACCCTGTGTTATATAACCAAGAAGACACCACAGTCCACACACTGTGAGACTCCCAACCAACTGTTTGATTTTTGTTAACCCTTAGCTCTTTTTTCAGTAGGCCTACCCTTTCCAAACTCACAACTGCAGACTGCAGTCGTCTTTGTTTACATCACTATGATACACCATAGATTCATTCACTACATGAATTAGGCCTAAAGGCATAGTTGTTTCCAATCAACAGATGGTAATAGAACTATGCGTGAATTGATTGTTGTGATCTCTGCAGCTGTTTGTCAATGTGTTGTGTGAGTGTGTCAGAGAGAACGGGAGCGAGGATGTGACCTACCCACGTGTTGTAAATGACAGTTATGAATGGCTGATGCTTATGAATATGTGTGTGGGTGTGTGTTGATTATCTCTGCTGCTGTTTTTGTACCATTACGTGTGTGCGTGTGTGTGTGTGCCAGAACTGGGTGTAAATAGCTGTTATTTGCCATGGCAGACTGCTGATAATCACAGGCCCATTTTAGGCCAAATTGAATGTAATTGAAAAGTTAATGATGGTCCTTGGAAACAGCTGAGGTTTGCAGACTTGTGAGGTTGGTTTTGCCCGTTAATTTTCACACACAGACATCATGATGTCACTTACTTTACCAGCACTCTCACAAGTCTGACTTCACTGCCACCACCATCTACCCACTGTGTCAAAACTGTTTTAAGGGTCTTTCTTCAACTCTAGGCCAACAATATGTGCACACTACTCAGGCGCTCCTGTGATTTGTCAGTGTGTCATCCAGCTGTGTATCGATTGGTTGGTGTGTAGGGCCCAGACAGCCTCAGTGACCCAGTTCTGTAGAGCTATACAGAGAGTTACCCAAACCAGTTATACAGGGGTTGGCTCACAGTCAAACCAGTACTACACAAACTGCTGGGATGTGCTAGTGCTGTTGCCATGCCCTGGGGCAGTTGATAACCTTAATCAAACTGGGAGTTCAACTTCCTACACTATACACTGAGTGTACAAAACATTATGAACACCTGCTCTTTCCATGACATAGACTGACCAGTCTGATCCCTTGTTGATGTCACTTGTTAAATCCACTTCAATCAGTGTAGATGAAGGGGACGAGACAGGTTAAATAAGGAGTTTTAAGCCTTGAGACAATTGAGACATGGATTGTGTATGTGTGCCATTCAGAGGGTGAATGGGCAAGACAACATATTTAAGTGCCTTTGAACGGGGTATGGTAGTAGGTGCTAGGTGCACCGATTTGATTGTGTCAAGAACTGTAATGCTGCTTGGTTTTTCACACTGACCAGTTTCCTATGTGTATCAAGAATGGTCCACCACCCAAAGGACATCCAGCCAACTTGACACAACTGTGGGAAGCATTGGAGTCAACATGAGCCAGTGTCCCTGTAGAACGCGTTCAACACCTTCTAGAGACCATGCCCTGATGAATTGAGGATGGTCTGAGGGCAAAAGGGGGGATGCAACTCAATATTAAAAAGGTGTTCTTAATGTTTTGTTCACTCGGTGTACATTGAACTTGATAAACATCACACCAGAGAAGTGTTTTATTGGGTGGTATATAGCAGAGGTAGCCTGTTATATATATATATATATATGGCCTAAGACAAAGAAAAAACAAGAAAAGGGACATTGAGGAAAAACTGTCATTTGGTCCATGATTCAGCCACTGTCAGGATCCCTGTCTGAGATAAAATAGCATATATTTTAATAAAATGAGCTGTATTCAGTCTGCAGACTCACAACAACCCCTCTTGGATAGTCCCCACTCAGATTTGGTCATCATGTGTCACTGTATATTGAAACTGGAGTCATAACACTTTTTCTTTTTTTTAATACATTTTCGGGTTGAAAAAAAAAACACTTTCAGTGTAAACTCAAATGACTGAAACCAGATATAAGGTATGTAGAAAATATAATGGAGCTATATACTTTAAAAATATATATATAATCTTTGAAGACTAACTCACCAAAATAAAAGCTAGACAGTCAGGGAAAATTGATTTTGTTATTATGTTTGAGCATTAGAACACAGCATTAGCCATGGCAAAATGCATGACATTTTCATTAAAACTGCAAACATTTCTCTCAGCTCCATGGTAAGATGTGTAGAATTGCAGGAAATGTACTTTAAAACTGCAAACATTTCTCTACACTGCCAAGATGGGAGGGGGGGCCTTTAAAATGTTCTTGCCCATTGCCTCCCCCTGCCACGCCCACCACCTAAGCCCCTTTTTGATAAAAAAAATACCTTCCAGTGATTATCTTTTGCTGCAAATGTCTGAATGCATGTGTCCTTGCGTGTGTAATGTATTCATGATACTCGTTCTGCAGAAAGCAGAAGGATGAGCGTTTTGTTATGAATCAAGAGTTTCGCATCTAAAGCAAGGCTATTAGGGCAAATTAATCCTTTCCTCCCAGATCCTCCCAGCCTATCACATTTCAAGTTCATATCAGCGTCTTTGATCCTACAAATACATGAGATTACATAGTTTCAAAACCGATTTCAGGAATACAAGTCATCAAGGACTTAATACAGAGGTCGGTATTCTCCTTAACTCCAGTTCTACGAGGTCACAGTATGTGCCTGCTTCTAATCTATCCCAGCACAAATGCACCTGATAAAACGTACATGAACCCTACATGAGCACGTAAGGGGAAGGTAGACTCCTTGAAATATTCTTGACACCCACCCAGTCTTTTCCAGACCACAGTCTGGCTGTTCTGACTCACAGATAGTGCTCAGACACTGAGTCAGAGGCACCTGTCTGGACACGCATAGCCCTACTGTAAGTGAACCTAATACTATAACACTGGGAATTATTCGGAACCAACCTGCTGCCCTCTCTCCAATGGCTCCTCCTGATGGCCCTCTGAGGTATTACAGGAGTGAGGCAGCAGCGTATCGAGGCACATACTGTACTTTCTTTAAATGACTTTAGACCAGGGGACCCACTCTCAGTCAAACCGATGGCCCAGGGACCCCCATTATACGTTAGCAAAAAATACAAATGAACATGTCTTATCTTATCATCAGGTGAATGATAATGGCAAGGAGAGATAATTAATATTTTAAAATGAATAGCTTTGGTAGATTATTTTTCATTATTTTGACCTCCCACATTAAGTGGAAGTGTAAACTAACTTAGCCTATTAGCTAGAAGGGTAACTCCAAACACATTTTGCTAAGAGTAGCTGTTTAGCTGGTTAAACAAAGGTTAGCCATGTGTTGGCAAACATTAATGTCCAAGTTGACATGTTATGCTCGACCCACTCAGTTTTCCACCAAAAAAACACCAGAAAATGGCAAAAAGAGTAGAACCAGCTCACTTGCTTTTACAAAATGATTTGACTATTACATGTTGAAAGTTTCTTTAAAAAATATATATATATTAAAAGGAATAGTTTCACCATATTAAGAGTTCAGTTCACGTAACATGGTTGACCTTAAAATGAGGGACAGGTTTTGAATCACTAAATCACATGAAATAAATAATAATCTTCAGAAATGACTTTGTCAAAGCAACAAAATAACTAGGGCTTTACAATGATGGAGAAAACTTGGAGAAATGTTGTGGTTAAGTGGGTTCAAATCTTCCTAGAAGTCACAGAGGTTGCACAGAGGACATGTCAAAATGCAGAATTTTGGAACTTTTCTTAATCTTATTATTGGTGTCCTTTAGTAGTGGTTTCTTTGCAGCAATTTGACTATGAAGGCCTGATTCACGCAGTCTCCTCTGAACAGTTGATGTTGAGATTTGTATGTTACTTGTAAAGCATTTATTTGGGCTGCAATCTGTGGTGCAGGTATCTTTAATGAACTTATCCTCTGCAGCAGAGGTAACTCTGGGTCTTCCTTTCCTGTAGCGGTCCTCATGAGAGCCAGTTTCATCATAGCGCTTGATGGTTTTTGCGACTGCACTTGAAGAAACTTTCAAAGTTCTTGACATTTTCCGGATTGACTGACCTTCATGTCTTAAAGTAATGATGGACTGTCGTTTCTCTTTGCTTATTTGAGCTGTTCTTGCCATAATATGGACTTGGTCTTTTACCAAATAGGGCTATCTTCCGTATACCACCCCTGCCTTGTCACAACACAACTGATTGGCACAAACGCATTAAGAAGGAAAGAAATTCCACAAATGAACTTTTAACAAGGCACACCTGTTAATTGAAATGTATTCCAGGTGGCTACCTCATGAAGCTGGTTGAGAGAATGCCAAGAGTGTGCAAAGCTGTCAAGGCAAAGGGTGGCTACTTTGAAGAATTTCAAATATAAAATATATTTTGATTTGTTTAACACTTTTTTGGTTACTTTATGATTCCATACGTGTTATTTCATAGTTTTGATGTCTTCACTATTATTCTACAATGTAGAAAATAGTAAAAATAAAGAAAAACCCTTGAATGAGTAGGTGTGTCCAACCTTTTGACTGGAACTGTATATATTTTCGGGGACCCCTGCAGTACCTCCGCAGACCCCCGGTTGAAAACCCCTGCTTTAGACCAGTGTTCCTAGAGAGCTGCTATGTGTGCAGGCTTTGGTCTCAAGTGTAGCACTAATTTAAACACCTGATTCAACTAATCTACAAGATGAATCCAGTGTTTTAGTGCTAGGCTGGGACAAAAGCCTTCACACATTGTGGGCCTCCAGGAGGACAAGGAGTGAAGAACACTTTGTACATATCCATCATATATGTTCTTCCCATAGAAATTGGAACCGTTTCAGTCTCTCACAGCAGTCTAGTGTTCTACCGCTGCTATGTTCTCTGTATGAACATATTAGCCTTCTATGAAACATTAGCTCTCTTTCTTCAAACATTGCAAAACTGCTTTTCACTTCTATCAAAACATTCTCACCCTCTACTGTTTGAACTCTCAAACATGGCTAGCTGTTCTACATTCTAAAAGACCTCAGCAGCGCTCAGCATTATGAACATGCTAGAACTGCTGCGGTCTATTGTCGACACTGTCAATGTCATCTGCACCATTCATCTCCACCATGTCATGCCATCTGAATGTGCAGAATAAGCTAACTTTGAGAGGTTAAGTAATGACTGTGTAATGTATGTACAGAAAACCTGCTCACTACTGAGTCTCACAATAACCTACCACACCATCTCTTAGGACAGCCTATCTCAGTGCAGTCTTAGTGTAGGCAAGACACTAATATCATCAAAATCAATATATCATAGCATGTTTTTGGGCTCATTCATTAGATCTGACCTGATTTAAGTAGAATACTGAAAAATAATGTAAAAAGTACCATTAATATTACTAAAATATACGTTGAAAATGATACTGTTGCTGCTTCCTGTTGTCATGGATTTTAAAAATTATAACAGTGTCAAAACACTGGTTTGAAATGTCAGAATTCATAATCAATATGCTGAAATAAGTTGACATATATATATATAAATTACTCCCACACACACACATGTCACACTTGTGTTCAGATTACTTGTATTTAGCAACATATTTACCTTAAACTGCTCACGCACCAATATTTACCAAGCAGTGACTCTAGACTGAAATGGATTAGCTTGTTCTACTGTAATCAATAGAGCACACAAATGAATCACTCACATCCATATTGTATTGAAATCAATGGAACTGGGACGGCGACATGTATCGTTTGCGCTCTTTTAAAAGAAAAACCACAACGAATTTGGGTATACTATATGTAACTGTGGATTTCAACGAATCATCTCTCCACAGGTAGTTCTAAATAGTGACAGGGGTTGCTTTCATTTGAGTGATGACTGTCAAGTCTGTGTATTAGTTTGTGGCCAGCGACTTTTATACAGAGTGCGCCACGAATTGTCTGTACCATTTAAGTTTGAAAACGACAATGGTGTTAAGTCCTGCGACAGACAGGCGCGTATGACAAAATCAACGGTACCAAACCAAATATATTCATCTGATTTCAAGCAATCTATTTAGTGTTGGCGTGATGACTATACACGTTTTATAATAGCATCTCCAATCTGAGGTAAAAAGGATGTTTAATTCCACTCAATTTTGTGGTGAAAATGCAAGCTTGTGTAATGTAGTAACACGTTTTGTCCACCATATGGAAATTAGTTTAATATAATATAATTCAATATGTCAAAGTAGTTCAATATTTTCATATATGATGATGGTAAATGTAGCACACTCACACATTTTTACAATAATGACATATATTTCTTCCTACTTTAACCATGGAGAGAGTTTAGAAATGCTCCTAAGCACAATTGAACAAGGCGCTCTAGACTAGAGCGTCCATAGGGTCAGTGCAGCAGGCTGAACGTTTGACATCCCTACTTAGGAATCCAGGCGTTTCACATGTTTTGATGTATTTACGGTAAACAAGGGCTTGCTAATCAGTTGACTAGATAGTTAAATCTGTGCCGTTAGTGTTGGAATGCATCAAATATGTGAAACGACTGGGTTGAGGCTATCTTTGGCGAAAGGACCACTGCTCGATATCACAGAGGGCAAAAATAGCAAGGTCTCAAAGACATTTGCAAACCCCTTGAAATACGTCAGCTGTAAAAGAGAGAAGATTAATAACACCTCGTTTTTCTTGTGCTTCCTCTCTTCTCCTGTCTTTCCAGTCACAGACGAGGACACAGTCAAGAGGTACTACGCCAAGTTTGAGGAGAAGTTCTTTCAGACGTGCGAGAAGGAGCTGGCCAAAATCAACACATTCTACTCAGGTAACTGTGCATGTTGCTGTATTTCATGCACCTGATATAACCAAACCACCGTTTGTTTCTCTACTTAGCTAGCCTATTTCTATGATTGTACCAAAAAACCAACAGCCCATTCACATTGCGTTTATTAGCAAACAGTCACATTCTCCTCCACTGTCCACCACAGGTCTAGGCCACTAAAGGCCCATCTGGTCAGAAGACAAACATTAATCCCTTAGGGACTAATCTTCCTGCCAATAGTTAGGCAACAGAGACTGAATCTTGCCAATATTAGCACAGAGTGAATATTAAGAACATCCCTGCCAATAGGTATAGGCAATCAGTAGGACAAGACATTCCCTCTTAGGAGGACAGAGGACGACAATCCCTCCATATAGGCACAAGACGATTCCTGCCGAAGCAGAAGACGTCCTCACCCTCTCACCTCATCTCTCACAGCCATCTGCTTCTGAACCGCATCGCCTCAACTCTACGCTCAACTACTCTAGCACATCCACGCCGACATACGACGACACTACTCTCAAGCTCTCCTCATCGTCCTGCACCCTCTCTCAACGTCTCTCCTACAATCCGTCCGCCTGCCTCAACGTCTATTCGTCTCCTACGACACATACGCGAGCACTTCGTCGTCGACCCGATCGCTGCCCTCTGACGTCCGAGCGCTCACCGCATGCAGGCCACGATCATACGGAGAATCCCACCGTGAACCGCTCTGTTCTCATCCTCACCCTCTCTCGACCTCTCGATGCTACGAACACCCGACTCTGAGCGCGCTAGAGTCAATCCCAACCCATCTCACGCTCTCTCACCCTCTCCCTCTCACTCCTCAGCTCATCGTCCTCTCTCTTCTCTCCTCACCCTCTCTCCCTCTTCTCTTCTCCTCTCCTCTCTCCCTCTCTTCTCTCCTCTCCCCTTCTCTTCTCTCCTCACCCTCTCTCCCTCTCTCTCCCCCTCTCCAGAAAAGCTAGCCGAGGCCCAGCGTCGTTTCGCCACTCTGCAGAATGAGCTGCAGTCTTCGCTGGATGCCCAGCGGGAGAGCAGCATGCAGGGCCTCCGTCGCCGCCGCAAGGCCGTCTTCCACCTGTCCCAGCAGGAGCGCTGCAAACACCGCAACATCAAAGACCTGCAGCTGGCCTTCTCAGAGTTCTACCTCAGCCTCATCCTGCTGCAGAACTACCAGGTTAGTAGACACTACATCTTATACACTACCCCCTATACACTACATCTTATACACTATCCCTAGACTCTACCCCTAGACACTACCGCTAGATTCTACCTCAGCCTTATCCTGCTGCGGAACTACCAAGTTAGTAGACCCTAGGCTTGGGCAGTATCCAGATTTTCATATCGTCATACCGTCCTTCTCTCATCCCGGGATTTACGGTATTACCGGCATAGCACACAAGGGGGTGCTAAAAACACAAGATAAGGCCATTGGGCTAACAAAAGTAGCACAAACTAATAGTGAAAACGAACAAACTAATTGCAGACAGGCAAATCCAGCTCATAAAGTTATACAAGCATAGCTAGTAGCTACCAAATGTCATTTTCGGTGAGTGTGGACATTTACAAGTGAAAGTGAACGAGAGAAATTGTGCAAATGAACGAAGTTGTGATGCATGCTTTTCTGAAGGAAGAGCAGCATGTGTACATGGAGCAGAGTGGACAAAAATGGAGGAGACAAAATGCTAGTAGGAAGCACAGGGAGAAAATGGCAGCTGTACAGAACTCACCCAGAGATCTCTGACTTCTGGCAGAAAGCCATTATAGGATATCTGATGGAAAACATTTAGTAGTGAATTGCACACAAGTGTAACTTCATCACCTCATGTGTGCCGCACAACAGAGACTCGCCGATAGATATAGAACGCTATGGACTCACCAGCTCTCGCTTTCTCCCGTTGTGCTATTTACAAACAAACACGTGACTGGCTCAATTGTTCTGGGGAACTACGGTAAGCTTCATAATGTAAAATAATGTGACAGGTGAAATGAAGAACGCAATCTGCTTTATCTCCTAATGTATTGCACAAGTTGACTGCAGGTATTAACTTAAAAAGTAGCTACAAATACAGCCTCATCCTGCTGCAGAACTACCAAGTTAGGTACCAGCTCCTAATCACCAAACCCTAGACACTACCACTAACCCTAACCTTGTTGTTCTGTGTCACCTTCTGATCCATTGCAACAAGTTTTTGTCCTAAAAATTCAATGGGAGACTCCTATTTATAACCCTTCAACTGTTTCTCCTCTCCCCAGAATCTGAACTTCACAGGTTTCCGTAAGATCTTGAAGAAGCATGATAAGATCCTGGAGACATCGCGGGGAGCCGACTGGCGTGTGGCCCATGTGGAGGTGGCCCCCTTCTACACCTGCAAGAAGATCACGCAGCTCATCTCTGAGACTGAGGTACTGGACTGGACAGCCATTTTGTTTTCCCCTCTTATCAATGAAAAGCATTGGGTAGTATCAATGTACTATAATCCATACAGTTTTTATTTTTTTATTCGCTTATTATCTATTTTACCCCCTTTTTCTCCCCTATTTTGTGGTATCTAATTGGTAGTAGTTACAGTCCCTGTCCCATCGCTGCAACCCCCGTACGGACACGGGAGAGGCAAAGGTCGAGAGTCGTGCGTCCTCCGAAACACAACCCAACCGTGCCGCACTGCTTCTTGACACAGTGCCCGCTTAACCCAGAAGCCAGCCGCACCAATGTGTCGGAGGAAACACCGTACACCTGGCGACCGAGTCAGTGTGCACTGCGCACGGCCCGCCACAGGGCTCGCTATAGCGCGATGGGACAAGGACATCCCTGCCGGGCCAATTGTGTGCCGCCCCATGGGTCTCCTGGTCGCGGCCCGGCTACGACAGAGCCTGAATTATTAGCTTATTATCTTGTCTTAACTTTTAGCTGTGACACAATCTCTTCCTTCCTCGCGCTGCCTCCATCTCTTTCGCTCCGCCTCCATCTCTCTCGCTCCGCCTCCATCTCTCTCGCTCCACCTCCATCTCTCTCGCTCCGCCTCCATCTCTCTCGCTCCGCCTCCATCTCTCTCGCTCCGCCTCCATCTCTCTCGCTCCGCCTCTCTCGCTCCGTCTCCATCTCTCTCGCTCCGCCTCCATCTCTCTCGCTCCGCCTCATCTCTCTCGCTCCGTCTCCATCTCTCTCGCTCCGTCTCCGCCTTCTCGCTCCGCCTCATCTCTCTCGCTCCACCTCCATCTCTCTCGCTCCGCCTCCATCTCTCTCGCTCCGCCTCATCTCTCTCGCTCCGCCTCCATCTCTCTCGCTCCGCCTCCATCTCTCTCGCTCCGCCTCCATCTCTCTCGCTCCGCCTCCATCTCTCTCGCTCCGTCTCCATCTCTCTCGCTCCGCCTCCATCTCTCTCGCTCTGCCTCCATCTCTCTCGCTCCGTCTCCATCTCTCTCGCTCCGCCTCCATCTCTCTCGCTCCGCCTCATCTCTCTCGCTCCGTCTCCATCTCTCTCGCTCCGTCTCCGCCTTTCTCGCTCCGCCTCATCTCTCTCGCTCCACCTCCATCTCTCTCGCTCCGCCTCCATCTCTCTCGCTCCGTCTCATCTCTCTCGCTCTGCCTCCATCTCTCTCGCTCCACCTCCATCTCTCTCGCTCCGCCTCCATCTCTCTCGCTCCGCCTCCATCTCTCTCGCTCCGTCTCCATCTCTCTCGCTCCACCTCCATCTCTCTCGCTCTGCCTCCATCTCTCTCGCTCTGCCTCCATCTCTCTCGCTCCGTCTCATCTCTCTCGCTCCACCTCCATCTCTCTCGCTCCGCCTCCATCTCTCTCGCTCCGCCTCCATCTCTCTCGCTCCGCCTCCATCTCTCTCGCTCCGTCTCCATCTCTCTCGCTCCACCTCCATCTCTCTCGCTCTGCCTCCATCTCTCTCGCTCTGCCTCCATCTCTCTCGCTCCGTCTCCATCTCTCTCGCTCCGCCTCCATCTCTCTCGCTCCGTCTCCATCTCTCTCACTCTGTCTCTCTTTCTCTCAGGCCCTGGTAACACAAGAGTTGGAGGGAGGAGACAGACAGAAAGCCATGAAGAGGCTACGAGTGCCCCCACTGGGTGCTGCACAGCCTGCTCCGGCGTGGACCACCTTTAGGGTCGGCTTGTACTGTGGAGTCTTCCTCGTCCTCATGGTCACCGTCGTTATCACAGGTATGCCCGTCCTCCCTCCTTCCCTCCTTCCCTCCCTCGCTCCCACTGAGGCTGTAACACAGGTTTTAAACCTGGTGGTGTGAAGAGCTTTACCATGTAAAACGATTAGCTCGATAGTGATTTTTTTTTCCTCCTCATTCCTACAGGGCTAAGCGCTCTAGTTCAGGATTTGACAGCTGCGTTAATGACAGAAAGGTGACGTTAATGTGTTATTAATACATTATTAATGTTTTTTTAACCGTCTTGGCCTCTAGCTGCTGTTGTGATAGAAAATGCCAACGTGTGGCCGCTAGTGAGGATCTACCGCGGCGGCTTCCTGCTGATCGAGTTCCTCTTCCTGCTGGGTATCAACACGTACGGCTGGCGCCAGGCGGGGGTCAACCATGTGCTCATCTTCGAGCTCAACCCCCGCAACAACCTCTCCCACCAGCACCTCTTTGAGGTAAGAGTTTGGTCCTGTATGGCTCAGTTGGGAGAGCATGGTGCTTGCAACATCAGGATTTTGGGTTTGATTCCCGGGGTCATGACTAAGTCACTTTGGATAAAAGCGTCTTCTAAATGGCATATATATTAGTTCTGTCCTATAAGTCTGTCGTTGGATACTGGTTGAGTTTTATTCATACAGCTCTGGTTATTACTTGTACCAATGTGGCTTTTTATGCTTAAGCAATAAGGCCTGAGGGGATGTGGTATATGGCCAATATACCACATCTGTCAGCCAATCAGCATTCAGGGATCGAACCACCCAGTTTATAATCACATTTAGTGTAGTGTTACTGGATCTTGCTTTTCACATTATTATCAAGTCATTTGCTTGAATTATCTCTCCCTCTTTGTCTCATATTTAAACTAGCTTTACAACACAAGTGAACCTCTCTCTCTCTTCCCCTCCACATAGATTGCTGGTTTCCTGGGGGTGCTGTGGTGTGTGAGCATCCTGTCCTGTCTGTTCTCCAAGTCCATCCTGGTGCCCATGCAGGCCAACCCCCTCATCCTCTACGGCTTCTTCTTCCTCTTCCTCATCAACCCCTTCAAGACCTGCTACTACAAGTCACGCTTCTGGCTCCTCAAACTGCTGGTGAGACGCTCAGAATGCTGAAGAAGCGTCAAATGTTATTGGGCCGCTGAACCTGTCTGAACATGTGCCTGACATCATGATGGGGGAAATGGGGACAATGTAGACATTTTTATGTTGCCAAATGCTTTGTAGTCCTGTGCATCCTCAGTCAGTAATATATATCTCTCGCTCTTCCCCTCTCCCTCTCCCTCCCTCTCCTCCAGTTCCGTGTGGTGACAGCCCCGTTCCACAGGGTAGAGTTTGCAGACTTCTGGCTGGCTGACCAGCTCAACTCTCTAGGGGTGGTTCTGATGGACCTGGAGTACCTCATCTGTTTCTACAGCTTCGAGCTCGACTGGAAGCAACAGGACGGGCTACTGCGGGACAGTAAGCAACGGATACACACACATATGAGTACACATGGATACATACAATGCGTACATATGTGTAAATGTACACATATAATTGCGCACACACGCATACATACACGCACGGAGACACACACACACAATAACACACTCCAAGCTCTATGGAAAATAAGCTTGTTAGTTTTACTTTCAATCCGTCAGCTCAACAATCAGGGCTTTTCTCATTTCTGATGGCTACTTTCAGTTCTCTCCTCTCCTTTATCCCCGTCTCCTCTCTCTGTCTGTATCTCTCTGTTTCTCACTCACACACAACACACAACCTTATCCAAACATACAAATCTCAGTCAAAACAAACCTACAGGCCAATCAAGCCCACATTAAACATACCCTCAAGACTTTTGTCCAAACAAAGCGAACTTGAGTCCAAACAAACATAGCCCAGTCACAAACATAACCTAGTCCATAGATGGCTCACTCCAAACACTATCCAGTCCAAATAAACATACACACCACCACCGCCACCTAGCCCTGTTCAAGCACGTTTTATCCCGTTGATGTTATTATTTGCATGGGTGTTAAGTGTTGAAGTCAACTCCATCTTAAACGCATGTCAATTGAGTATATTGAATTGCATTCCAATAAATTAATTATATGTCCAATCCAACAGACGGGAATTTAAATGGAACATATTCGGCTGATTTTATTGGTTGACTGATAATGTGTATTGTGATGGGTGCTGGTGTTTGTCACTCCTACTCGTATACCGTGGGCGGGATTTTATGGGTTAATTTATAATCAATGTGTATTCTGATAGGTGGAGGTGTGTGTCACTCGTACTCGTACGGCGTGCGGGCAGTGATCCAGTGTCTGCCGGCCTGGTTCCGCTTTGTGCAGTGCCTGCGGCGTTACCGCGACTCCAAACGGGCCTTCCCTCACCTGGTCAACGCAGGGAAATACTCCACCACCTTCTTCGTTGTCACCTTCGCTGCACTCTACAGCACCCACAAAGGTATGGAGAGAAAGTTTATAGTCTCATCTTAGACTGGGATCTAAATGACATATCGTAAGTACAGAAATGTTTTTGGCCACTACGCCGGTTGACATGCATATATATACCAGTGATTCTCATAAGAGGAGGGAGGATCCACAAACAATGGAACAACAAACAAGGAGAGATTAGTACTGTAATAGTATTGCAATATAACGTTTGTAGTTGATACGTATGCACTACATTGATTAATTGACCAAACGCTTGAATCATTGATTGAGCAGTTGCTTTGTTGATTGATCAGTGATTGGGTGATTGACCTTGACCTCTATGCCTCTCCCCTCCTAGCTGAGGGTCATGATGACGCCAAGATCTTCTTCTACCTGCTGATTGGCTGTTCATTAGTCAGTTCTTGTTACACCCTGGTGTGGGACCTGAAGATGGACTGGGGCCTGTTTGACCGCAATGCAGGAGATAACACCATACTCAGAGAGGAGATCGTCTACCCCCAGAAAGTTAGTGTACCTTTTTAAAACGGGTCATAACGACCAAAATGACAAATAAAAGTTGCCTAGAGGTAATCATCTATATACAGTAATACACACACAATGTTCAGAAAAACGTATGCTTCAAAGAGGAACCGAGAGGATGTAGGGCTGGTCGATATGGAATGAATTTGAATGTATTGTAATGAAACAGGCAGGGAGCAGGTCTCGAACCCTCAACCTTCTAGGCCAAAGTCCAGCGCGCCATCGACTGTGCCCCAAAAGCATGCTCCCGTGGCAGAGTCGATATCCGCGCCTTATAAACCCAGGGTTGTTACAGTATGTTTTTGCGCGATATTCTAAATGCCTGTATCTCAAGAATAACGTTTTTTAGTTTTTATGAGCGTTTATGTCCGCTTGTTCTCATGTTGTCTTTTTGGTCTCGTCTCCTTCGTTCCTTCGGTGCTGTTCACCTTCCCATTTACACCAGAGATTTGTATATAATGACAAGATGCTCATGTCTCCGCCCTAACAATGGGAGTCGTTGTCCCAAAGGCGGGAAGGCAGTCGACCAGTTTAGGTCCGAAATAAGCCCATAGAAACGCATTGGGTTTATTTGTGAAACCTCTCGCTTCGCCTCTTCCTCTCTGTTTACACACACACACCAAGCCCCTCCCCCTGCCACTCGCACAACAAAGATGAGAGATCACTTCTTCCTCTCCGACAAGCGGTTTCAACTTGCTATTTGCGTTTTGAGGTTTGGTCCAACAGAATCGGTCATATGGACACCGAAACACATTGAGACATTATTTTACTATAATAGAGGAGACGTTAACCATTGTAACGATACCCTTTTTATGTCTCAACTGCTCAAAATGCACGCAGAGCAGACACTACTAAAGTGTATCAATGAACATTGATTCTGGAAAATGAATGCTCAGTTTGTTGCGCGTGGCATTGCAGTACCACTAGCAGCATTTTAGCCACAGACAGTTATACTAGCTGTCTAGTCTGTGTTTTATAAATGTGCAATGAGCATAACAAACTATTATATAAGGAATTGGCAACTCGTTCTCATTCTGAGAAATAAGGTAGGCCACTTGATTTCAACATCTGAACAAAGTGGACAGGCTATCATGCTGTTCAAACAGTTGGAGACAGACAGAACGGTGTGTTCATAACAATTCAACTGTTCTGCCTTGTTAGCAAGCTAATTGATCCTTGAAACTTGAAATACAGTTGAAGTCGGAAGTTTACATACACTTAGGTTGGAGTCATTAAAACTCGTTTTTCAACCACTCCACAAATTTCTTGTTAACAAACTATAGTTTTGGCAAGTCGGTTAGGACATGTTCTTTGTGCATGACACAAGTCATTTTTCCGACAATTGTTTACAGACAGATTATTTTACTTATAATTCACTGTATCACAATTCCAGTGGGTCAGAAGTTTACATACACTAAGATGACTGTGCCTTTAAACAGCTTGGAAAATTCCAGAAAATGATGTCATGGCTTTAGAAGCTTCTGATAGGCTAATTTACATAATTTGAGTCAATTGGAGGTGTACCTGTGGATGTATTTCAAGGCCTACCTTCAAACTCAGTGCCTCTTTGCTTGACATCATGGGAAAATCTAAAGAAATCAGCCAAGACCTCAGGAAAAAAAAGTCTGGTTTATCCTTGGGAGCAATTTCCAAACGCCTGAAGGTACCACGTTCATCTGTACAAACAATAGTACGCAAGTATAAACACCATGGGACCATGCAGCCGTCATACCGCTCAGGAAGGAGACGCGTTCTGTCTCCTAGAGATGAACGTACTTTGGTGCGATCAATCCCAGAACAACAGCAAAGGACCTTGTGAAGATGCTAGAGGAAACAGGTGCAAAAGTGTCTATATCCACAGTAAAACAAGTCCTATATCGACATAACCTGAAAGGCCGCTAAGCAAGGAAGAAGCCACTGCTCCAAAATCGTCATAAAAAAGCCAGACTACGGTTTGCAACTGCACATGTGGACAAAGATCGCACTTTTTGGAGAAATGTCCTCTGGTCTGATGAAACAAAAATAGAACTGTTTGGCCATAATGACCATCATTATGTTTGGAGGAAAAAGGGGAATGCTTGCAAGCCCAAGAACACCATCCCAACTGTGAAGCACAAGGGGTGGCAGCATCATGCTGTGGGGGTGCTTTGCTGCAGGATGGACTGGTGCACTTCACAAAATAGATTGCATCATGAGGAAGGAAAATTATGTGGATATATTGAAGCAACATCTCAAGACATCAGTCAGGAAGTTAAAGCTTGGTCGCAAATGGGTCTTCCAAATGGACAATGACCCCAAGCATTCTTCCAAAGTTGTGGCAAAATGGCTTAAGGACAACAAAGTCAAGGTATTGGAGTGGCCATCACAGAGCCCTGACTTCAATCCTATAGAAAATGTGTGGGCAGAACTGAAAAGGCGTGTGCGAGCAAGGAGGCCTACAAACCTGTCTCAGTTACACCAGCTCTGTCAGGAGGAATGGGCCAAAATTCACCCAATTTATTGTGGGAAGCTTGTGGAAGGCTACCCGAAACGTTTGACCCAAGTTAAACAATTTAAAGGCAATGCTACCAAATACTAATTGAGTGTATGTAAACTTCTGAACCACTGGGAATGTGATGAAATAAATAAAAGCTGAAATAAATCATTCTCTCTACTATTATTCTGACATTGTACACCCTTAAAATAAAGTGGTGATCCTAACTGACCTAAGACAGAATTTCTACTAGGATTAAATGTCAGGAATTGTGAAAAACTGAGTTTAAATGTATTTGGCTAAGGTGTATGTAAACTTCTGACTTCAACTGTATAGAGATTAGCTGGCTACTCACTAGCACGTGGGTTTGTGCTAGAGAGATTATGAAACCTGTTTTATAATGTCTGCTATACGAAGTTAGTCATTATTAGTGAATGTGCATTATACATGGTTCTGGTAAATGTGTAACAAAAAGGGCATTTTCATAGACTGACTTGAAAGCCAGATCAGTGATTATCGCAAAAAAGCAGGTTAAACTATTTTGATAAAACAATTAAATTATTATGGTTGTGGAAGGCTTACAGTGGGGGAAAAAAAGTATTTAGTCAGCCACCAATTGTGCAAGTTCTCCCACTTAAAAATATGAGAGGCCTGTAATTTTCATCATAGGTACACGTCAACTATGACAGACAAATTGAGAGAAAAAAATCCAGAAAATCACATTGTAGGATTTTTAATGAATTTAATTGCAAATTATGGTGGAAAATAAGTATTTGGTCACCTACAAACAAGCAAGATTTCTGGCTCTCACAGACCTGTAACTTCTTCTTTAAGAGGCTCCTCTGTCCTCCACTCGTTACCTGTATTAATAGCACCTGTTTGAACTTTATCAGTATAAAAGACACCTGTCCACAACCTCAAACAGTCACACTCCAAACTCCACTATGGCCAAGACCAAAGAGCTGTCAAAGGACACCAGAAACAAATTTGTAGACCTGCACCAGGCTGGGAAGACTGAATCTGCAATAGGTAAGCAGCTTGGTTTGAAGAAATCAACTGTGGGAGCAATTATTAGGAAATGGAAGACATACAAGACCACTGATAATCTCCCTCGATCTGGGGCTCCACGCAAGATCTCACCCCGTGGGGTCAAAATGATCACAAGAACGGTGAGCAAAAATCCCAGAACCACACGGGGGGACCTAGTGAATGACCTGCAGAGAGCTGGGACCAAAGTAACAAAGCCTACCATCAGTAACACACTACGCGGCCAGGGACTCAAATCCTGCAGTGCCAGACGTGTCCCCCTGCTTAAGCCAGTACATGTCCAGGCCCGTCTGAAGTTTGCTAGAGTGCATTTGGATGATCCAGAAGAGGATTGGGAGAATGTCATATGGTCAGATGAAACCAAAATATAACTTTTTGGTAAAAACTCAACTCGTCGTGTTTGGAGGACAAATAATGCTGAGTTGCATCCAAAGAACACCATACTTACTGTGAAGCATGGGGGTGGAAACATCATGCTTTGGGGCTGTTTTTCTGCAAAGGGACCAGGACGACTGATCCGTGTAAAGGAAAGAATGAATGGGGCCATGTATCGTGAGATTTTGAGTGAAAACCTCCTTCCATCAGCAAGGGCATTGAAGATGAAACGTGGCTGGGTCTTTCAGCATGACAATGATCCCAAACACACCGCCCGGGCAACGAAGGAGTGGCTTCGTAAGAAGCATTTCAAGGTCCTGGAGTGGCCTAGCCAGTCTCCAGATCTCAACCCCATAGAAAATCTTTGGAGGGAGTTGAAAGTCCGTGTTGCCCAGCGACAGCCCCAAAACATCACTGCTCTAGAGGAGATCTGCATGGAGGAATGGGCCAAAATACCAGCAACAGTGTGTGAAAACCTTGTGAAGATTTACAGAAAATGTTTGACCTGTGTCATTGCCAACAAAGGGTATATAACAAAGTATTGAGAAACTTTTGTTATTGACCAAATACTTATTTTCCACCATAATTTGCACATAAATTCATTAAAAATCCTACAATGTGATTTTCTGGATTTTTTTTTTCTCATTTTGTCTGTCATAGTTGACGTGTACCTATGATGAACATTACAGGCCTCTCTCATCTTTTTAAGTGGGAGAACTTGCACAATTGGTGGCTGACTAAATACTTTTTTCCCCCACTGTACATTTAGCCTAGGTGTAATTTCACAAGCCCTGAATTCATTAGATTATTGATGACTGTTTGAAATACAGTGTATGTGACTGTTAATTGTACAACAAAGCTTATTTAGAGATATTATCGTGAATCGTTCATAAGTTAGAAAAAATCAAGTATGATTTTTAGGCCATATCGCCCAGCCATAAGAGAATGTCTGCTAATGTAATAAATCATCATTCAAATAGTTTCAGGCCTACTATTTTTATGTAACTTCAGAAGATGTTTATGTGGTTATGTGATGATAATACACGTGTGTGTGTGTGTGTGTGTGTTCAGGCCTACTACTACTGTGCCATACTGGAGGATGTGCTGCTGCGTTTTGCCTGGACGATACCCCTCTCCCTGAGCACGGTCAGTGGGATACCCTCAGCTGCAGACATTATGGCCACCATCCTAGCCCCTCTGGAGGTCTTCAGGTGAGAAGACATTATTTTATTCTCTCTCTCTCTCTCGTTCTATCTTTTCTTTGCATTCTCTTCCTTTCTTTTTGAATGAACATTTCAGTCTATGCCTACTATTGTGGTAACCACTAGGTAGAGCCCTTCTCCTGAAGATTTCAACAGGTGACCATTTAACCACTAAATACCTCCCTCAATGTCATTTCATACATGAAATTATGATGAAACACCTCAACAACATTTCACTTGATATTCTCTTCCTCCCCCTCCCCCTCTCCACTGCAGGCGTTTTGTCTGGAACTTCTTCCGTCTGGAGAACGAGCACCTGAATAACTGTGGTGAGTTCCGAGCGGTGAGGGACATCTCAGTGGCTCCACTGAACGCTGACGACCAGACACTGCTGGAGCAGATGATGGACCAGGAGGACGGAGTCAGGAACCGCCTGGGCAAGAAAAACTGGAAACGCTCCTACAGCATGTCCCTGAGAAGGCCGCGCCTCACTTCCCAGTACGGTTATACAATTGCTCCACACACACATATTGGCATGCATGCATACACACACAAAGCTACAGCATGTCTCTGAGACAACCGTGCCTCGCTTCCTAGTATAATAATAACACACACAGACTGGACCCCACATACACCTTAAATAAAGCGTATGGCTGTGTTTCCCTCGACTAATGTTTCCCTCTACTAAACTTTCTCTCTCTCGCACTCCCTCTCAGGACCAAGACCCGGGACACCAAAGTTCTCATGGAGGACACAGACGATGACACCTGACATCAGGCCAGACCCATTGCATCCATAGCATGGGTTCAGAACCTCTTTAAAGGACCACGTCCCTCCTAGGGGCACGCCCCCCTGACCCCCCTCCTCCCCCATCAATCAGTCGATCGATCGTTTGATGACCTGCCCCCTCATCAGTCCATCACAGAGCTGCCTATCTGCATCAACACACATGCACACAGAGTACAAAGACATGAATATAGGCATATACAGAAGATGACAATTTGAGACAAATATCACACGCACACACCTTGGAACAGCTAATTTTAAGCCACTTTGTTTTGTTACTTTCATGGACCATTTAGTGCTGAGTTGACGTCACCCGTTATTTTTTTGATTTCATGGGGCAGAGACGAAACACCAAGACTGTAAATGTTGATGTAAATATCAGATGGCTAATCAGAAATGATCTAATATAAAAAAGACTTTGAGAGCGTTGGACTATGAACAGTGATCAGACACTCCTCTGCAATCAGTCTGGTCCAAGACTTTCTTTGACTTTCTAATTACCTTTTTTGATGAACATGATGATGAAGATGACTGTATTGATGTGGCAGTCCTTTCCAGGTGCGATAAGTTCTTCCACGAATACCTTGGTTTTTATTTTATTAAATTAAATTGTTATTTATGTGAGGGGAGAGATGCCTAAAACATTTGGTAGTGAAATGGGGGGGGTTCTGATTTGAAATGGCTGCTAAAGTGTCTGCCTAATGTTGCCAATAAGAACTGTTCCGAGAACGTTGGTAAGGGGGGAGGGGAGTTTGTTCTAATGGTTCAGTATGGGTCGGTCTGAATATAAGGCTGATCAGAGACCAGTGCTTCAGGGCATCTCATCCTATAAAATGACATTGTATGTTCAAAAACCCTCAGGAGGCTCTGATTGGACAATTCTCTCAAAACAAGCCCACCCCTTCCCTGTCTTCAGAACCTTTATAGGGAGGGGGGCCTTCCATCATTGGGGAACACCCCCCCACCCCCACCCCACCCCACCCACCCCCACGTCTATTTCTATGGGCACAAGTGCATTCCATGACAAAAACTGTTCACACCACTCTTGTTGGCAGAGAGGATTTTGCAGGTTTAAAGCTTATTTCCTGTAATTCTATACATTTTGCCATGGGGTGGAGATTTTTTTTGCCATTTTTAGGCTAATTTTCTGCAATTCCACACATTTTGGCATGTCTTATGCGTGTTCATGTGATATCTGAGTGACTCAAACATTACAACAAAATCGATGGGCTAAAAAACCTTAGCTGACATGGACTAGTTGATCTGGACATTCTGACAAGTTATAAATAGCTCTAAGGTCTGCAATGACAAGAGGAAAACTGATGATGCACTACCCAATTTTGAAATTGCATCTTGTGCATTCAAGAGTAATTTGAAAGCCAGACAGTCCCCCCCCCGCCGACCCCACAGTTTGGGAACCACTGGTCTAAGCTACAACATTTGTGAAAATAAAAAAAGTTTCCGCGTTTTTAGATAGACGTTATAGCTTAAATTACAGTTTTAAGAACTTTCTTAAATGAAATCATAGAATAATCTGACAACCCTGTTTGTAAGATTTAAAATTATATCAAACTCAACCGTTAATTTTTTCCAGTGATGAAGACGTGGACGTCTCATGGTAGGGTGGGATATGCAAAATGGGTCAGCTTTGAGCACCATCTCCTGAATGCATTGGCATTCCAAAAAGTCACTTTCCGGCCACTTCCACCATGGGCAAACGTGATTGAAAGGTTTCGTTCAAATCAAAAGGGGTGCAGTCAGAAAGTGATTGAAATCATATGGAACGACCCTTTACCAATATGGTTTAACTGTAGCATTGTTTACTTTCATGCCAAATCTTGTAGGTCTTCTTTTTATTTAGCAGTGTGAGCTAACAGTCTCGCTCAGGAAGCCGTGGTAGGTGTGGGAATTTCAGGATTTAGAACTATTGTTATGTTTCTTGCTAGCCAAATATCTGAAACATTCCATTGAGAGCTGTGCTTCCAAAGCGCAACGCTTCACTAAATGCCCATTTATGCTTGATCTGAAAATGTGGTCAGAGGCTCCGTATGGAGGGTGTGACGCAATTGCGGAGCCTCCGAAGGCACGCAGAGACCAAATTGAGGTCCATACTGCATCGTGGTGCGCCTCCCAAATTTTGTAACAATGCGGAGGGCTTCATATAGCTCTGTATAGCTCCGCGTTGACATGATTGGTTGACGGTAGGTGAGGGCGGTATGTCCTGTATAAACACAAACTCACTTCCTTCACAACAGTTCTGCGCTGCTCCGCGAAGCGAAATAAGTATGAATGCCCTGACTTCTGCAGAGGCTGTATCACCGTAAATGCTGCACAGCTAATGCAGACATTGGATTGATCCTGCAGCACCTTTTCGTGATATTGCACAGCAGATAGAAATGAAATCTATAGAAAATGTATTTCACTATTAGGGCCCTTACTTTTTCTTGGCCATGCGACATTAGTTTTTTCGAGTCAGGTCACACGGTCAGGAGAAAATCACATCCTAAGGTGCCACCAGCCAGCCACCTGTGATACGTATGTCTGTTCTAGACATCCTAGTTCTGTATGTGATGATGTGCTGCTTTGCGTCCACTAAGCACCACAACCCAGCTCTGTTCTGAAATTGAGTTTAGCCATCAGTAGGGCCAGGAGTTTCCCCTGACTGTGTTATAATTGGGGCCCAGAGTTTTTCCTGGCCAGGTGTCATAGTTGGGAAAACTCCTGGTCCTTGCCATTCCATTAGATCTTAGGTCTGAACACCCAATGCCAGTTAGGAGTGAGGCGTCGTGTATCTGGGGATGTGCAGGGGTTGGCCTCTTCACCTGCCAATCATCTCCATCTACACACCCTGTCCATTCTGATTTCTACTTCCTGGGTGTGTTTAGTGTCTTTTTGTACATAAGGGTTAACCCTAACTGAAATTAATATTAGTAGTAGTTTAATTCTACTGTCTAACAGCATCATATTTTTCTGTAGCAGAAATCTAAGTCATTCCATCCATCCAGACATTTTATTCCTAGCCTTGGATGTGTTCTTAGCTCGGACACTTCTCACTTTGGGGCATTTGTTGAATGTATCATTCTGTTAGTAACTCCAGCCAAGAAATGCAATGTGTGTGCTCTCACATAAAGACTCCAAAGAGAAGGGTCTGCATTGGCTCACCTAAGGAGACTTGAATATTAGAATGAATCCGATGCATTTCTCAGTTCTAATGAAGGCAAAAGCTTTAAGCCTTCTACTCATACTTAGTAAACACCATTTCCCAGAATCCCTGCCCTTCCTAAAAGCCACCTGAGGGTTTTAACCTCCATTCTGTATGCCCAGGTAGATTTACTAACACTGTAAAGATATAAGCAATTGTATAGGGTAGAATCCTAACTTGATATGCCCAGTTAACCCAAGTGTATCTCAGGTTAGGATTTGGCCCATGCTTCTCAAGCTGCATTTCGTAGTTTATAGGTCAACTATAATGGTGATTGTGGAAAGCCTGATGGAGCTTAAATGTGGTCTGGGGGAACTAGTCTTAAATAATGTGGTGAAGAAGAGAACCAAGAAAAGACAACATGGTGATCTATTTGTTGGCTCCATCCCAAATGACACCCTATTGCTGATATAGTGCACTAAAAGTAGCACACTATATTGCGCTATATAGGGAATAGGGTGTAATTTTAGATATGCCCCGTCTCTTTATGGTTGAGCTTTACTGTCGGCCTTGCCCAGCTGAGATGGGACCCTCCACAGAGGCCCATAGACTTGAATTGAGCTGGTGAGCAATAACGGCCATGCTTTATCCCTGTAATAAGTCTTAATAAGTGTCAAGCAGTGTTTGTACCCGAGGGAGGGGGGGACTCCAGTGTCTCAGGGCAAACTGTTGATTTTCATTGGGCCTCAGTGCTTTGTAGATCAATGAGTCAATATTTAACTAGATTCCACCTCATCCGATTGTCCAATTTCTGGCAAAAATAAATGATTTGCCATCAATGTGTACCTACTTGTGCACTTTAGCTGCTAAAAAAGAATCATAACAGACCGAATAAGCGAGCGATTCATTTTCCTGACGAATGCGCAAAATATGGGACACAACTAGTAACGAGTTAACACCCTGTGCGACCTTGGTCCCCCGCCCGTTGTTAAGATGGTGATGGCCATCAGTTGTTACATTTTCAGATATTGTGGTCTCTTCAGGTCTGGAGACTACACCTCTAGGTCAACCAATGGACCTAGTGGGGGAAATAAGTAAATATTTAGCAATCATTTTGTTACATTCCTAGATTAACGTCACACCCTTGGAGGGCCCACACACACATACAGAGATATTGTAAATATACATGCACACACTCTCCGAAGTGCTTATACACACCCTGCTTACAAGCATACCCTGTACACACACGCCTTGCTTGGAGTATGTTCCAGCTGATCTATGAATGCTAAGGGTGGAGTTGCACTGGACCCGTTTCCCTGTCGCTTCTCATTGGATCACTGGATCTCTCAAAGCTGTCACTCAAATGGATCCTCCCATGGAAGAAGAGTGGAATCTACTGTAGCAAAAGCCTGGACCAAAACAAAGCTCTTTAGAAAGTTTGTGGAACGTAACCATGTTTCCCTTATGCCTAAAACGTTATAAAGAATTAATAAAGATCCAGTATGAATTATATGAAACGGACTACGTTTAAATGTCCCATGTGTCCCGAGAGCGTTGTTTTATGTTCCAGTTTTTGGACATGCTCGCCCTGTGTACTGTCATCGTACCCTGTACCTCTGGTCACTGTAACTACAACCTTAAAGGAGTACTCCTCATGCATTTGGCATTCTCTGCTAACTTAGGTGCCTGGATCGCCTCCCTCACCCTGTTATACTGTTTTTGAGTAAAAAAAAAAAGATCAAACACAAAATGACTGGACTCGTAGTTCTTTCTTTTCATCCTTCTGTACTTATTTATTTCCTCTTTATTCATTCTCTTCCATCATTTACTTGTTCTGCAGATGCCGCAGTTTCTGTGACCTCTTGTGGGCATTCTATGATGTTTGAATGTAGACTGGTGTGAATATTTTCCTATACATTTTGGTTTCTTTTGCTTAGGGAGGTGTCAATGAAATGACTTCTTATAGCTACTCAAAGTAATAGTTTCATACCCATGCTTGGCAGGCTGAAACCTCCCATGTTTCTCCTATAAAACAGAAAATATATTGTATAGGCCAAGGCCAGCCACAGATTTGACACCAAAAGAATATGCCCATGTCCTATTTGGGACATCCGCTATATTAAATGTGGATCAACACGACACAGCCCTGGGGAAAGGTTTACATACAAATTGTTACATTGTTAGAAAGGATCGATCAAATCAAATTTTATTTGCCACATGCGCCGAATACAACAGCTGTAGACATTACAGTGAAATGCTTACTTACAAGCCCTTAACCAACAATGCATTAAAAAAAATAAAGTAAAATAGAAAAAGTGTTAAGTAAAAAAATAAAAGCAAATAACTAAAGAGCTGCAGTAAAATAAAATAACAGTAGGGAGGCTATATACAGGGGGGTACTGGTGCAGAGTCAATGTGCGGGGGCACCAGCTAGTCGAGGTAATTGAGGTAATACACTGCTCAAAAAAATAAAGGGAACACTAAAATAACACATCCTAGATCTGAATGAATGAAATAATCTTATTAAATACTTTTTTCTTTACATAGTTGAATGTGCTGACAACAAAATCACACAAAAATTATCAATGGAAATCAAATTTATCAACCCATGGAGGTCTGGATTTGGAGTCACCCTCAAAATTAAAGTGGAAAACCACACTACAGGCTGATCCAACTTTGATGTAATGTCCTAAAAACAAGTCAAAATGAGGCTCAGTAGTGTGTGTGGCCTCCACGTGCCTGTATGACTTCCCTACAACGCCTGGGCATGCTCCTGATGAGGTGGCGGATGGTCTCCTGAGGGATCTCCTGCCAGACCTGGACTAAAGCATCCGCCAACTCCTGGACAGTCTGTGGTGCAACGTGGCGTTGGTGGATGGAGCGAGACATGATGTCCCAGATGTGGTCAATTGGATTCAGGTCTGGGGAACGGGCGGGCCAGTCCATAGCATCAATGCCTTCCTCTTGCAGGAACTGCTGACACACTCCAGCCACATGAGGTCTAGCATTGTCTTGCATTAGGAGGAAGCCAGGGCCAACCGCACCAGCATATGGTCTCACAAGGGGTCTGAGGATCTCATCTCGGTACCTAATGGCAGTCAGGCTACCTCTGGCAAGCACATGGAGGGCTGTGCGGCCCCCCAAAGAAATGCCACCCCACACCATGACTGACCCTCCGCCAAACCGGTCATGCTGGAGGATGTTGCAGGCAGCAGAACGTTCTCCACGGCGTCTCCAGACTCTGTCACGTCTGTCAAGTGCTCAGTGTGAACCTGCTTTCATCTGTGAAGAGCATAGGGCGCCAGTGGCGAATTTGCCAATCTTGGTGTTCTCTGGCAAATGCCAAACGTCCTGCACGGTGTTGGGCTGTAAGCACAACCCCCACCTGTGGACGTCGGGCCCTCATACCACCCTCATGGAGTCTGTTTCTGACCGTTTGAGCAGACACATGCACATTTGTGGCCTGCTGGAGGTCATTTTGCAGGGCTCTGGCAGTGCTCCTCCTGCTCCTCCTTGCACAAAGGCGGAGGTAGCAGTCCTGCTGCTGGGTTGTTGCCCTCCTACGGCCTCCTCCACGTCTCCTGATGTACTGGCCTGTCTCCTGGTAGCGCCTCCATGCTCTGGACACTACGCTGACAGACAGAGCAAACCTTCTTGCCACAGCTCGCATTGATGTGCCATCCTGGATGAGCTGCACTACCTGAGCCACTTGTGTGGGTTGTAGACTCCGTCTCATGCTACCACTAGAGTGAAAGCACCGCCAGCATTCAAAAGTGACCAAAACATCAGCCAGGAAGCATAGGAACTGAGAAGTGGTCTGTGGTCACCACCTGCAGAACCACTTCTTTATTGGGGGTGTCTTGCTAATTGCCTATAATTTCCACCTGTTGTCTATTCCATTTGCACAACAGCATGTGAAATGTATTGTCAATCAGTGTTGCTTCCTAAGTGGACAGTTTGATTTCACAGAAGTGTGATTGACTTGGAGTTACATTGTGTTGTTTAAGTGTTCCCTTTATTTTTTTGAGCAGTGTATGTACATGTGGGTAGATGACAAAGGATACAATTATATGATAGATTGTAGAGACAAGGTAACATTTTACGGCCACTTTTGTAATGGTACACTATGCCTTTTCATTCTCTGGAAGTATTTGTTATGTGAATTATTTAACAAACTATTTCAGTGTCTCTGTGCGTCTCCCAAAAGGTTGTAAGTATTTTGGGATTTAAGTAACGGGCAGAGTCCCGGTCTGCATAGTCAGAGATATTTATTCATTGAGAATTCTGCCATCACAATTTCAGAGTCCATCTTTTATACTCATACGTCATAAAAACATCCCCCCCCCTTAGGCGGCCTGTATTTTTCCACTATACACATCTTGTAAGCACACACACACTTCGGTTCAGCTCATGTTTTCCTCTGCTCTCCTGACCCTTAGGACACACACTGTTCTTATATTTTCCTACTCCTTGCTCGGCCAGGTGGCAAACTTCAGTTATCGCATCCTCACAATATCCTGCATACTCCTCAAAAAGTCTAACAGTTTCTCTCCTCCCTAAATTGGGAGGCCCCTTTATCTTGGTTTAGACAGTTCTCCTTTGTTGTCTGGTCTAACTCTTACTCACATTGCTAAATAGTAGCTCAATGCCATAGTCTTTACTGGTCCTACACTCACACATTTCACACACATTTCACACAGTTTCAGGGTGTAATAATTAGTCATTAATAATTAATCTATCAGTATTTTATTCAGTTTGGGGAGTGATCCATGACCAAATAGATACTTTTGTATGTATAGTGTATGTGGACACCCCTTCAAATTTGTGGATTCGGCTATTTCAGCCACACCCGTTGCTGACAGTTGTATAAAATCGAGCTCACAGCCATGCAATCTCCCTAGACAAACATTGGCAGTAGAATGGCCTTACTGAAGAGCTCAGTGACTTTCAACATGGCACCGTCATAGGATGCCATATTTCCAACAAGTCGGTATGTCACATTTCTGCCCTGCTAGAGCTGCCCTGGTGAACTGTAAGTGCTGTTCCTTATTGTGAAGAGGAAACATCTAGGAGCAACAACAGCTCAGCCGCAAAGTGGTAGGCCACACAAGCTCACAGAACGGGACCGCCGAGTGCTGATGCACGTAGCATGTAAAAATAATCTGTCCTCGGTTGCAACACTCACTACCGAGTTCCAAACTGCCTCTGGAAGCAACGTCAGCACAATAACTGTTCATCAGGAGCTTCATGAAATGGGTTTCCATGGCCAAGCAGCCTCACACAAGCCTAGGATCACCATGCCTAATGCCAAGCTTCGGCTGGAGTTGTGTAAAGCTCGCCGCCATTTGACTGGAGCAGTGGAAATGCGTTCTTTGAAGTGATGAATCACGCTTCACCATCTGGCAGTCCGATGGACGAATCTGGGTTTGGCAGATGCCAGGAGAACACTACCTGCCCCAATGCATAGTGCCAACTGTAAAGTTTGGTGGAGGAGGAATAATGTTCTGGGGCAGTTTTTTATGGTTCGGGCTAGGCCCCTTAGTTCCAGTGAAGGGAAATCTTAACGCTACAGCACACAATGACATTCTAGACGATTCTGTGCTTCCAACTTTGTGGCAACAGTTTGGGGAAAGCCCTTTCCTGATTCAGCATGACACAATGCCCCCGTACACAAAGCGAGGTCCATACAGAATTGGTTTGTTGAGATCGGTGTGGAAGAACTTGACTGGCCTGTACAGAGCCCTGACCTCAACCCCACCGAACACCTTTGGGATGAATTGGAACGCTGACTGTGAGCCAGGCCTAATCGCCCAACATTAGTGCCCAACCTCACTAATGCTCTTGTGGCTGAATGGAAGCAAGTCCCCGCAGCAATGTTCCAACATCTAGTGGAAAGCCTTCCCAGAAGAGTGGAGGCTGTTATAGCAGCAAAGGGGGGACCAACTCCATATTAATGCCGATGATTTTGGAATAAGATGTTCGACGAGCAGTTGTCCACATACTTTTGTATAGTGTATTATAAACTGGGTGGTTTGAGTCCTGAATGCTGATTGGCTGACAGCCGTGGTATATCAGACCATATACCACAGGTATGACAAAACATGTATTTTTACTGCTCTAATTAGGTTGGTAACCAGTTTATATTAGCAATAAGGCACATCAGAGGTTTATGGTATATGGCCAATATACCACGGCTAAGGGCTGTATCCAGACACTCCACATTGTGTCGGGATAAAAACAGCCCTTGGCAGTGGTATATTGGCCATATACCACACCCCCTAGGGCCTTATTGCTTAAATAGCCTGCATTGTTAAGTGTTTGAATTGTAGCATAACATAACAATTTATTTAGACTAATTACAGCTCATTGGCCTATTCCACAAGTCACTGCACACGTTTTTCCACTGTCTTGCCTTGCTGCAACGTATAATGGCAGTAGACTTTAGGTCGAGAAGTACTTGAAAACAAAGGTTTACCCCTCACCACCAATAGGCTGTACAGTTGCCTTGATTTCATCATGTTTGTTGACACGCGCTTCGATTATTTGCCTTGTTGCACAGCGGTGAGTAGGGCCTTGCCTAGGTGAACCGCGTGCGGGTTGAAGAGCAGAAATGATTTCAATTCCATTTTGACTGCATGGTTTCTCCATTTTCCTTTATGTAAATAGAATAGCCTACTTTTGTGTGTGGTGGGCGTGAAATGTCATACAGTTCCGACATGTCTGGAGAGGAGAGAGATTACGAAGGAGACCTAAATAGTTTACCGGACGACTCAAATGTTGTCCAACGTTATTTATTACAACTGAGACAGAGGGCACAGAAAGACATCATCGACCCGCAGGACAGCTTGAATTGGTCGGACAGTTTTCTAATAAAGTTTCTGAGAGCGAGAGACTTTGATGTTGAGCTGTCACTGAAGGTTGGTATCCGCGGTGGGTTAACTGTATTGTAAATTGTAACTATTTAAGATATGGTTTCAATGCATTCTGCAGTCGTTTAGAACTTGGAATCAAAACTGTTTGTCAGTGAAAGAAAGTTGTGTCAATGCATTTTGCAGTCGTTTAGAACTTGGAATCAAAACTGTTTGTCAGTGAAAGAAAGTTGTGTCGATGCTAGTCTGATTAATCAGGCTGTATGTAGGGTAACGTGGCGTAACAAGCCCCCCCCCCCCCTCCCCTCCCAAGAACAATGTGAAATTGCTGACCCAAAAAGCAGTTTTTCCAAAGTACTAGTGTAGAAGATTAGTGTGTTTAAAAACAAATTTATACGTTTTATTTTGATTTTTTATTTATTAACTCTTAAAAGCTAAAGTCTAGTTAGTTACCCCCTACTCACTCACCTTAAATGCTACTGTTTTATAAAAAACTGATACTTTTTTGTATCTCTAAACAAGTGGATAATTTGTTTTTAGGCTCCCCAAATGGTATATATATATATATATATATATATAGTACCAGTCAAATGTTTGGACACACCAACTCATTCCAGGGTTTTTCTTTATTTTTACTATTTTCTACATTGTAGAATAATAGTGAAGACATCAAAACTATGAAATAACACATATGGAATCATGTAGTAACCAAAAAAGTGTTAAACAAAGCAAAATATATTTTAGATTTCAGATTGTTCAAAGTAGCCACCCTTTGCCTTGATGACAGCTTTGCACACTCTTGGCATTCTCTCAACCAGCTTCATGAGGTAGTCACCTGGAATGCATTTCAATTAACAGGTGTGCCTTGTTAAAAGTTAATTTGTGGAATATCTTTCCTTCTTAATGCGTTTGAGCCAATCAGTTGTGTTGTGACAAGGTAGGGGTGGTATACCGAAGATAGCCCTATTTGGTAAAAGACCAAGTCCATATTATGGCAAGAACAGCTCTAATAAGTAAAGAGAAACGACAGTCCATCAAGACATGAAGGTCAGTCAATCTGGAAAATGTGCAGTCGCAAAAACCATCAAGCGCTATGATGAAACTGGCTCTCATGAGGACCGCTACAAGAAAGGAAGACCCAGAGTTACCTCTGCTGCAGAGGAAAAGTTAATTAGAGTTAACTGCACCTCAGAAATTGCAGCCCAAATAAATGCTTCAGAGTTCAAGTAACAGAGACGTCTCAACATCAACTGTTCAGAGGAGACTGAGTGAATCAGGCCTTCATTGTCGAATTGCTGCAAAGAAACCACTACTAAAGCACACCAGTAAGAAGAAGAGACTTGCTTGGGCCAAGAAACACGAGCAATGGACATTAGACCAGTGGAAATCTGTCCTTTGGTCTGATAAGTCCAAATTTGAGATTTTTGGTTCCAACCGCCGTGTCTTTGTGAGACGCAGAGTAGGTGAACGGATGATCTCTGCATGTATGGTTCCCACCGTGAAGCATGGAGGAGGTGGTGTGATGGTGTGGTTGTGCTTTGCTGGTGACACTGTCAGTGAATCATTTAGAATTCAAGGCACATTTAACCAGCATGGCTACCACAGCATTCTGCAGCGATACACCATCCCATCTGGTTTGGGCTTAGTGGGACTATAATTTGGTTTTCAACAGGACAATGACCCAAAACACACCTTCAGGCTGTGTAAGGGATATTTGACCAAGAAGGAGAGTGATGACGTGCTGCATCAGATGACCCGTCCTTCACAATCACCCGACCTCAACCCAATTGAGATAGTTTGGGATGAGTTGGACCGCAAAGGGAAGGAAAAGCAGCCAACAAGTGCTCAGCATATGTGGGAACTCCTTCAAGACTGTTGGAAAAGCATTCCTGATGAAGCTGGTTGAGAGAATGCCAAGAGTGTGCAAAGCTGTCATCAAGGCAAAGGGTGGCTACTTTGAAGAATCTAAAATATATTTTGATTTGTTTATTACTTTTTTTGGTTACTACATGATTCCATATGTGTTATTTCGTATTTTTGACATCTTCACTATTATTCTACAATGTAGAAAATAGTACAAATAAAGAAAACCCTTGAATGAGTAGGTGTGTCCAAACTTTTGACTGGTACTGTATATATACTAATTATCTTTTTCTAAATGACAAAATATTAGGTCAACTTACCTCAGAATCGTTGTTCGTAACATTTAAAAAATGTAGATGAGACGGATAACATTTTTACTTTTTTTATTCTTTATTTTGATTTTAAATTCCTCAAAGTTAAAGGTGTAGATCATTCTCCATCCTCCCCTGATTCAGAATGTCATGCTTGGTTCAATAGCCTGACATGATTTGACAGGCTGACCGCTGGCTGTTGTTTTTCTGTTGCAATCTAAAATATGTTTTCTTTCCCTCTCTCTTTCTTTCCCTCTCTCTCTCGCTTCCTCTCTCCCTCCATCCCTATAGTTACTCATTAATTACCAGCGTTGGAGGAGAGAGTGCCCAGAGATCAGTGCCAACCTGCACCCGTCCTCTGTCCTGGGACTCCTCCAGAATAACTACCATGGAGTGCTGAGGGACCGGGACCACAGCGGCAGCAGAGTGCTCATCTATAGGATAGGTTAGTCCTCATCTATATGATGTGGTCTGGGTGTCAGGCAAGGCAAATGGCACCACTGCATAAAACCACTTAAAATAGTATTTATTACTTGTAGTATTTTATTAGGATCTCCATTAGCTACTGCTAAAGCAGCAGCCACTCTTCCTGGGGTCCACACAAAACCTAAAACATGACATAATACATAACATTTAATAGACAATTACAGCTGAAGGACAGAACTACATACATTTAAAATAAGAATACACACTTTCATAAATTTATGCCTTAGCATTCCATGCATCATATGCACTCATTATAACGGCAATAACGCAGCCATTCATTTTCCCATATATTGTGATATATTGTGTCTAAGCAAGTCCAGATATCTCACAGCATCCTTGAATCCTGATATCCTAATCTCACAGCAACCTTGAATACTGATATCCTAATCTCACAGCACCAGTTGTTCTGTAAAAAACAGAGAGAGTTTCACAACATCAGGAACCATCTGTGTCCTTGGTTCATAATAATGTGACTCATAGATGCTACTGAACGCAAGTGTAACACACGAAAATGGAAATGGAATAATCATGTGGAGTTTCACCGAAGACGTTAACTCCTGCTCAGTTCCCCTGGAGTGAACAGAGCCACATATCATATCGTATGGAGTTGCACCTAAGTTTCACCCCTGCTGTGTTCCCCTGACGTGAACGCAGCAACCTTGAATTGTATGGAGGTGCACTGCACTCAGCTAAATTCCCCTGACATTAATAAAGCTACCTTGTTTTGCTAAATTCCCCTGACGTGAATAAAGCTACCTTATTTTGTTAAATTCCCCTGAGGTGAATAAAGATACCATGTCATCTACTGTTACCGCCCACAATGGGTATCCTGGGGTAACTTAATCTCTTGAATCGTATGGAGATGCACCGAAGTATCACTTCTGCTACGTGAACGCAGCAACCTTGAAATGTACTTTGAACATTATTCCTTTTGATACATCTGCCCATGGCACAGGGCTGTGTAAAAGGCTATGTGAGGAGTGTTTGACTTAATATAGTATACTCTATAACAGGGCTATTCAAATCTTACCCTACGAGATCCAGAGCACTGCTGGTTTTCTGTTCTACCTGATAATCAATTGCACCCACCTGGTATCCCAGGTCTAAATCAGTCCCTCAATAGAAGGGAATAATTTTTAAAAAGCAGTGGAACTGGCTTTGATGTCAAGATTAGAATTTATGTGCTCTATAGCAGTGCTCTCTAACCCTGTTCCTGGAGAGCTACCCTCCTGTAGGTTTTTGCTCCAACCCCAGTTGCAACTAACCTTATTCAGCATATCAACCAGCTAATTGTTAGAATCAAGTGTGCTAGATTAGGGTTGGAGTGAAAACGTACAGGACGGTAGCTCTCCAAGAACAGGGTTGGAGGACCCTGCTCTATTGGGTCATTTGAGAAGTTGTCATTTGAGATGTTTGCTTGTCTCCTCAGGCCAGTGGAACCCTAAAGACTTCACAGCTTACGAGGTGTTCCGTGTTAGTCTGATCACATCGGAGCTGATCGTCCAGGAGACAGAGACCCAGAGGAATGGACTGAAGGCCATCTTCGACATGCAGGGATGGTGCTTCGCTCATGCCCTACAGATCAACCCCTCCCTGGCAAAGAGGATCTCCTCTGTGCTCACGGTAGGCTATCAGTTGAACTGGGTTGAGTCCTTTAGGACACCCAATGAAAAATGAGTGTTTCCTATTGAACCAGTACAGGTAGTCCCTCCCTGTTTCAGTCTGTTTTCTTTAGTTTGGTGCCTAATGAACAGAACCCAGAACTGCTGTTTTTAAAGGGTCCCTCTGCTGCTTTCAGAAATAATCTTAGAATTATCAATACTTTTGAAGCTTAGGGTTATGTCTGGATCCAGAGTTGTCTGTATTGCAGATATCTCATGTTACTCTTATATAATATAGCTACATACACAGCTATACTGTGAATAAGCCTGTAATAATACTGTAATAAGCCTCTGTAAATGTGATCTTGTCAGGACTCGTTTCCTCTGAAGGTGCGAGGGATCCATCTGATCAATGAGCCCATATTCTTCAGACCCGTCTTCGCCATGATCCGTCCATTCCTGCCTGATAAGATCAAACAACGGGTCAGTCACCATTCTTCACCATTCACATGTTCTTGCACTATGACTTTTGCTTCACCTGGATACATCTCTTTCATACATTGTCAATGGGAGTGATGGTGGTGATGATGATGATGATGATAGTGACCTCAGATGTTGTTTAGAGCAGGTGCTTATAACCCATTATGATAATGATGATAATGCTGCCTCTGATGATAATAATGACAACAATAACAATGTTTATCATGATGGCAGTGATGCTAGTTCATGTCAATTCCCTTCTGTCTTACTCCTAGATCCACATGCACGGCAGCACCTTCGAAGAGACTCTGAGTGACTTCTTCTCCGAAGACATTCTCCCCCAGGAGTACGGGGGCAGCGGCCCCTCCATGGAGGAGGTGTGTCAGGAGTGGACCTCCCACATCCTGCAGTCTGAGGAACGCCTCACCCAGCTCTCCATCTACCCTGCAGGAGATGAGGTCATCCCTGACCTGGAGCCAGAACCTGACCCTGACAGCCAGTCCGCCTACAGCTCCTGACTCCACATCCCAGAGTGTATCTCAACGACCAACCAACAACCACACAACTCGTAGCATCCTTCTGGAGTGGTTGGGGTGCACAACTTTAGCCCTCGAGCTCCAAGATGATATGCTAGTTTCAAGTTTACTACCAGTTTCCTGGTTATTAAGTTTGTCAGATGTCGATGAAAAGATAGAATGATGATGAGGGATGATGGTAGGACCAAGTGCTCAAAAGAGTTGAGTACATTGTGTTTAATGAATAACACTTTGGAATTAGACCTAGACTACCTAGATCTCCTGTTTTATGGGTTTTTAAAAAGTGTATTAGCGGTACTCAGCCAACTGTCAGTTACCATAATGTGTTATAACTAAGACCAAGGTTAAAGATGTACGTTTTAGCTATTTGTTCAATTTTATGAATGTCTACTGTATTAGTGACTTGTATTTTTATATGATTGGTGTTTTAATTACGAAGATTAAAGGGCAACTCCACCACTTTTCAACCTCATTTTCATTATCTTCAGCACAATGCCAGTGTCTACATATGTGAAAACGGCACATTTCAACATTTTGTAGGAAGAAAATAGTTCTAGCCGATGACATCAAAAGTTAAGAGTGATTTTCAAACACTATGAGAATCGCAGTGACGTTGGGAGCATGCAAATACCCTCCCTCTGGCTAGAAACTTGTTGCAAGTTTTGAAAACCACTTTTTACTTTTAATCCTACCCTGTGATGTCACAAGCTAGGTTTCCATCCAATTTGCAAGAGATGTTAATGTGAATATTATAAAATATGCATTAAACAAATATGCACATTTTCCCACCATAGGTTTGTTTCCATCAAAACAGACATGTTGCAGATAATAAAATCAAATGTTATTTGTCACATGCGCCTAATACAACAGGTGTAGACCTTACTTTGAAATGCTTACTTACAATCCCTTAACCTCTTAAGGATCTGACCCTTTTTTTCAATTTTCACCCAAAATGACATACCCAAATCTAACTGCCTGTAGCTCAGGACCTGAAGCAAGGATATGCATATTCTTGATCACATTTGAAAGGAAACACTTTGAAGTTTCTGGAAATGTGAAATTAATGTAGGGGAATATAACACATTAGATCTGGTAAAATATAATACAAACAAAAAAACATGGAAGAGAAAGGCCACAATATATTGCAGTTTAGGCGCAATTTAGATTTGATCCAGTGAAGCATTGCAATTAGGGGTGTAACGATTCGTTTTAACAACGATTCGATTTGTATCACGATTCGTGGTTGTCGATACGATTCAAGGACGATATTGGTTCATTTAGAACGATACGATCCGAAACGATTCAGTGACTTGAAATCGATTCAGTAACCTTTTAGCCAAAAATTCAACCAGTGTGACTGAAATAAATACCTGGATACTGGACAGTGCAGGTGAAGTTTCCTAGATTCCTGTTTCTTGTAAGGACCGCAATGGTGGCTTGATAATTTCTCGCTCGTCGGCTTCTCCTCTGTCGTCCGCCATGCTATGTTTTGTTGTCTTTGCGCCTTTGCGCTGCTGCTGGCGCGGGGCGATGACGTCACGGATAGGCAGACTGAATCGAGTAATATTTAAAGCCTTTATCATTAAAAGTGCTAAGAAAAAACATCCATATAAAGTCTGACGTGCTTAAATCCAATGGGTTATTTCCTAGTATCGATACAATCGATTTATTACATTTTAAAACGATGTTAGATTGATATATGTTGTCCAAAAGGCCAACTCGCCGAGCACAGATCGATGTAGTTGGATCATAGGAATATAAATCGATACATCGATGTAGTAGATGGATCGTTACACCCCTAATTGCAATACTGGACTATTTTTTATCAAGTCTGCCCAAATGTGCCAAATTTATACATGTTGAAGTACATAACTATAGAGAACATACAACAATGATATGGTAATACAAAATGTAAGTTTACACACTCCCAGTAATGTCATACACGATGGATCATTAGCTTACACACTAACTTTCACACATCTAGATGGCCGGGCGGGGTGGGTGTGGAGCCAGAGACAGCAGGGGTTCAAACTGTAGAACCCAGTTCCTACATTTGAATATAAAAATGGATTTTGTAAAAAAAAACTATGCTACATTTTATCTCTGGGACGCTTAGGATGACAAATCAGAACAAGATTACTGAATGTAAGTACATCATTTATCTTCAGAGGTGAATGTATCAAACCAGTTGCTGTGAAAGTTTTTTGTTGTTGTGCACTCTCCTCAAACAATAGCATGGTATTTTTTCACTGTAATAGCTACTGTAAATTGGACAGTGCAGTTAGATTAACAATAATTTAAGCGTTCTGCCCATATTAGACATGTCTATGTCCTGGAAAGTTTGCTGTTACTTACAATAGTCATGCTAATCACATTAGCGCACGTTAGCTCAACCGTCCCGTTGTGACAAGTACTGAGTATACGAAGAGGCAGGACGCAGACGCAGGAATTAACAAGGTAAAGGTTTGCTTCACAATGAAAAAGAGAATAACAAAGAGCGAGTAAACGACACGATGCTAACAATTACACACAACAATGAACAAACAGTCCAGGGCTATATAGTGGTTGTGATGAGATGAGGTGCAGGTGCGCTGGAGGTGATTAGGGTGCGTTGGGTTTCCATTCCTGTGTTTGCCGAGGTAGTGTGCTCAGACCGGTGGCTCAGTAGACCGGCGAATCAGAACGTAGGAGGGGAGCAACAGGAGGAGACGTGACAGTACCCGCCACAGGACAGCTCCCGCCACAGGACTTTGCCGGCCAGGAGGACGACCCCGAGGATAAGGATCGGGCCAGTCAGGGCGGCGACGATGGAAGTCCCGAATTAGGTTGGGGTCCAGAATGTCCCCAGCCGGAACCCAGCTCCTCTCCTCAGGGCCATACCCCTCCCAGTCCACCAGGTAATGGAGCCGTCCCCCACGGAACCTGGAGTCCAGCAGATCCCTCACAGCATACGCCGGACTCCCGTCAATGTCCAGGGGCGGAGGGGGCGTACCCCGGGGGACGGCATCCGCCAGAGGACCAGGAACCACCGGCATGAGGAGAGACACATGAAATTAGGTGAGACACGGTAGTGAGGGGGAAGGAGCAGCCGGTACGACACCTCATTAATCCGCCGGAGGACCTTAAACAGCCCCACAAACCGGGGGCTCAGTTTCACCAGGCTGGAATACGGGAGCCTCACTGCGGTAGTGGTCAGCTTGGTCCTTCTGCTGACGAATGGCCCGCTGGAGACGGACATGTGCGGCGTCCCAGACCTGTCCGGCCCTGCGAAACCACTCATCAGTCTGGCTGGGTGTCCAAGGGTCCAGGGCCGGCTGGTACCCCAGGACGCATTGGAAGGGAGTGAGCCCCGTGGAGGAGTGAACGAGGGAGTTCTGGGCATATTCTGCCCAGGGAAGAAACCTCGCCCACTCACCCTGCCGGTCCTGACAGTGGCAACGAAGAAACCTCCCCAGCTCCTGGTTCATGAACTCCACCTGCCCATTTGGCTGAGGCCTATCCCCGGAAGTGAGGCTGGCCGTGGCCCCGATCTTCTCCAGGAAAGCTTTCCACACACGGGAGGTGAATTGGGGGCCATGGTCCAAGACGATGTCCTCTGGAAGTCCATAGTGCCGGAAGACCTGTTGGAACAGGACCTCAGCGACATGGAGAGCAGAAGGAAGACCAGTTAGTGGCAAAACACGGCATGATTTTGAGAACCGATCTATGACCACCATGACTGTGGTGAAGCCGTCAGAACGTGGGAGGTCGGTGTCAAAGTGTATGGACAGGTGTGACCAAGGTCGCTGAGGCACTGGTAGAGGAACTAGTTTGCCTGGCGGGGCATTCCAAGGTGTCTTCGTTTGGGCACGTACGAAACAGGAGTTGACATAGCGAGAGACATCAGAAGCCAAGGTGGGCCACCAGTATGTTTATGCTAGAGAATGCAGGGTGCGCGTAATACCGGAGTGCCCTGCTGTATGGGTGGTGTGCGGGGTGGCTATGGAGCTGAAGGACCTGATGAAACGGCGGTAGAAATTGGCGAAGCCCAGGAAGCTCTGTAGGCCCTTGATGGTGGTGGGGACTGGCCATGACCTGACGGCGTCTGTCTTCGCTCTTTCCATGAACACCCCCTGAGGACTGATCCTGTATCCCAAGAAGGAGATGGCCTGTTGGTGGAATTTGCATTTCTCCCCCTTCACCAACAGGCTGTGTTCCCGGAAGCGGAGTAGGACAGCTCTGACGTCCCTGATGTGCTCCTCGAACGTAGCCGAGTAGATCAGGATATCGTCGATGTACACCCCCACCTGTCTACTCAGCATGTCTCGGAACACGTAATTGAAGAAGGACTGGAACACAGAAGGTGCGTTGGCGAGGCCGTAGGGCATGACGCAGTATTCATAGTGGCCTGAGGTAGTGCTGAATGCCGTCTTCCACTCGTCTCCTTCCCGGATTCGGATCAGGTTGTAGGAACTCCTCAGGTCCAACTTGATAAAGTACCGGGCCCCTCGTAGCTGCTCGATGGCCGACGGAACCAGAGGGAGGTGGTGCTGGTACTTGGTGGTGACTGCGTTCAGCCCCCTGTAGTCAATGCACGGCCTCAGTCCTCCGTCTTTATTGGCCACGAAGAAGAAGCTGGCGGAGGCAGGAGAGGTATAGCATCTGATGAACCCCTGTGTCAGGGTCTGCGCCACATACTTCTCCATGGCCTCAGTCTCCGCCATGGAAAGGGGGTAAATGCGACTCTTCGGGGGGTGTTGCCCCTCCAGCAGGTCAATGGCGTAGTCCCAGGGCCTTTGATGAAGAGAAGACATTGGAGAGATCTGCGTACTCACGTGGAATGTTGGGCTGGAGGGCCGACTCCGGACTCTCCACTGACGTGGAACAACAAACCACCGGCAGGCAGGTCTTCCGGCATGAGGTGGACCAGGCTGTGATCCTCTTGGTGATCCAATTGATGGTGGGGTTGTGTAGTCTGAGCCAGGGCAATCCCAAGACGATCC